GTCACCTGTTGAGGACAGTGGCCAACGTGGATCGGCAAGGGCTATTTGATTTTCGAAGCACCCTCCGCACCAATATGGACGTCACGGGCCAGCTTGGCACCTACTCTTTTTAAGTGGTTAGAGTTGACCGCTTAAAGTTAAATGTAATTCTTAATTTTGCGGAACTAACTCCTCCACCAACCGTTTAAAATCCAAAAGGATTTTGCAAAAATTGTGTTTAAAAAATTTTCGGCGCATATATTGGTTGGGTGCTATGTCAATGCCACTTGATGTCTAAACAAATGAAATGAATTTTATTCACAATATAATACGTTTTTATTGTACTTACTGTTCGTAAATACACAATTGGCAAGCTGCCCTTAAAATCAGATGCTGCTATGGCAAAAACATCCCAGTTCTTCAATTCTTGGACCATTCTGATAAGTATTTCAAAATATATATACATATATATACAGTAGTGGACAATGAAATCCGGACACTTAAGTACTTGGACTAAATCGAACTTTGCATTAGTGTGGTAGGAGCGCGAGTTATTATATCGAGTTGAAATTTTTTCGTTATATCCCGGAAGGTATTTAGCTTTCATGATCTGAGAGCATTTTTTTAAAATTAAATTTCTTTTGTTAACAATTTTTTTTTTTAAATATGTCGAAAATGACTTAAAATTTTCAAGTGGTCATATTGGCCTTTCAATCGAAAACCTTAAGCTTCCGAGGAATAAGCTCTAACGTTGGACTTATTAGGTCTTCTTTCGAGGATTTCCTACAAAATTTTAAGAAAACCAGACCTCTAAAGCATTTTTCAGGATCAGGAAAGAAAAAGAAGACCAACACCTCAAGAATCGAATGTTTTCACGATTCGGCATGACTGATCGTTTCAAATCAGCAAAACATGTAAGAAGTAAGTTTTTCCGGTTGAAAGGAGTTGAAATAAGCACTCGAACCGTTTGGAGGAACATTGAGGAGGCAGGACTTCATGGCCGGCGAACAGCGAAAAACCCAGTCTTGACCGCAAAAATGCTCCAGGATAAGGATACAGCGGGTCAAAATGCACGAATCTTGGAATGTACATGATTGGCGAAACGTCATTTTTTGTAACGACACCAAAATAATCCCTAAACTCAAATCCAAATCCGCCAATTCAATACCTCATTCCATTCAGGCCATTCAATACCTCAAACAAAATGGAGTCCCAGTCCTTTATGATTTGCGGCACTTCTGCGTCACCTCAGAGTTACACGACCGATATACAGAGGAGGTAAGTTTCGCAAAATTAATGAAACAAACATTTTATTTATTATTTTCATTACTTTCAGCGGCTTACCCTTCAGTCCCTATTTGGGAGTTTGTTCAATACATTCCCAAAGAAGTTGGTGCCAAGCTGGGCTACGATGTCCATGTTGGGGCGGAGGAGGGCTTTGAAAAATATCCAGCAGCACTTGCCGATCCCAAGGAGGCAGTTGCGTTTATGGCAACATTGGCACTGTGCTTGTGCAAAAACTGCACACTGTTTTTAAGAAAATGTAAGTATATATATATTTATATTTTATTCATATTTTAAAAAAAAAATTTTTTTCCCAGGCGCATTGTACTGGCGGGGAGCATGTTTAAGGTCATAGAGGAGGCGAAGACGAACGAAGACGAGGAGGCTGCTGCGCCGAAAAGATTAAAATTAAATTAGGCTTAGTTTAGCTTAGTTTAGTTTTAGTATAGTGGATTAGGCCTCTCGGGGATACCACTTAAAAAAAAACGCGCCTTATACTCTACCTCGAAGGTGGTGGGGAAAAGAGTATTTTTACTATTGCAAATAAAGTGTACATTTAAGAATATTATTTTTGTTAATTATTATTAATTTTTTGTATTTCAGCTATTTATTGAGTATTATGGGGTCTTTCGTTTAGTGTACTGAAAGTAAATACTTTCGGTATCGAAAGTCGGAACGGCCCGGATCGGCCGACTATATCCTATAGCTGCCATATAACTGATTGATCGGAAATGGTATTTGGTAGAAATATCAACTTTCGTATTTTAAAGATAGAAGCTTGGGACTTTTTTTTAGATTTTTTATTGTAAATAAAAATTGGATTATATATTCCTATTCCCATAAGAATCGGCCAACTATATCCGATGTTTGCAATATATATCCGGTTTTACCTGCAAGGGTGGGTATATAAGCTTCGGCTCCGCCCGAAGTTAGCTTTCCTTTCTTGTTTTTTAGATTTTTTGTCAAATTTTTTGGGGGTCCATCTGCAAAATTCCAAAAAAGTCATGGAGGCTCAATATGGGCCACTGCGATGGCTGTATCTTCGCCAATACTGATCTGATTCTTGAGCGGAGTACCTTAAACGATTTCTGGATCGATTCTCCATCAATCTGCATTAAAACCTATAAACGTATTATTTTTTAGATTTTTTGTCAAATTTTCTGGAGGACCCTCTACAAAAATGGGGAAAGTGCAATTTGGCTAATAGTTTCTTGCTGTGCATCGGCGATAAGACCCATGGAAGTGGGGGGCAACAACCAAGATAATGACGAAACGCAGTGCGGCGAGCACCGGCAATATTTCCCAACCTATCTTTATAAAAAACTCACTAATTTTTCTTGTTTTAAGAAATATATTAAGAATATTAAAAACAAAAAGAAGATTTATTTTCTATAAATAGAATAGATTTCTTCTAATAAGCTTAGTGAATAATATATAAAATAATAATTTATTTAAAAATAAATAGTAAAAAAAAATTATATTTTAAATATTGTAAAGAAAAAACTTTTTTTTGCATTATTTTTGTCAAAAATAATGCGATTTGCGAATGATATAGAGAATAGATAATTAATTATTAATTATTAATTAATGATTCGAGAATTATCATTTTCCATCAAAACCTGACCTGACAAACTAAAATTTGACCCAATTTTTCGGATTTTTCTGAAAATTTTCAAAGGATTTTGATTCATCATGATTTTGGCCAAAAATCCACCAAAAATTTATTTTCTCGATTCTTAGAATATTTTGGTCCAGGTCGAATTTTTCAAAATTACAAATTTTTTTGTTGTCCCGGGAAAAAAGAGCTTTTTTTTCGAACTTTCAATGTTTAAAATTTAACAGAACATTTTTTCAATTTTACAACACTTTTTCAATTTTTGAAATTTTCCAACTTTTTATTGCAAAAATAACAGTCAGAAAAAAAAATGTTAATGATTGAGCCTTTTAACAGAGCTTTAACAGTGAAAAATCCGCTGTAAAAAAATTATCTGCTGCTCCAAAAAGTATAATACAAAAAATTTTTTTTTGTTACATTCTGTTAAATAACATCGAAAAATACTGGGAAAATATTTAACTTGAAATTTGTCTCCAAAAATTCAACGAAAGTAGCGCAGAACGTGGCAAAAAACTGTACTACTATTAAAATTTACAGCAGATGGCGACGCTGACAGAAAATATCGCAACACGTGGCAAAAAACTGTACTACGATTAAAATTCACTGAAGATGGCGACGCTGAGAAAATATATCGCAACACGTGGCAATAAACTGTACTACGATTAAAATTCACTGAAGATGGCGACAGAAAACGGCGTAGCACTCGGCGAAAAACGGTACTACGATTAAAATTCGCAGAAGATGGCGACACGGATATTGGGGATATTTTATGGGACATTTTTTCTGTTTAAGGTGGTAGTTCTGTGTAGATGGCGCTTTCTGTGCGAGTCGCCAATAATGAAAATTTAACACGAATTAGGGAAAATTTTTCTTAATTTCACAAAAACAAAATTTTTATTATTATACCCTTGCAAAGGGTATTATAATTTTGTCCAAAAGTGTGCAACGCAGTGAAGGAGACATCTCCGACCCTATAAAGTATATATATTCTTGATCAGGATCACCTCCTGAGTTGATATGAGCATGTCCGTCTGTCCGTCTGTCCGTCTATCTGTTTCTACGCAAACTAGTTTCTCAGTTTTAAAGCTATCGTCTTGAAACTTTGCACACACCCTTCTTTCCTTTGCACGCAGTATATAAGTCGGAACGGCCCGGATCGGCCGACTATATCCTATAGCTGCCATATAACTGATTGATCGGGAATGGTATAACTTTGGTGTTTTTAGAGTTAGAGAGTTCAAATTTGACATGAGAGCTATTTTTGGCAAAATATTACGACATGCCAAATTTCATAAGGATCGGCCGACTATATCCTATAGCTGCCATATAACTGAACGATCGGAAATGACCCAACTTTCGTGTTTTTGAAGATAGAAAGCTGGAACTTGGTACAGATTATATTTTTGGTCAGTTAATCCGACCTAAAAAATTTCATTAGGATCGGCCGACCATATCCTATAGCTGCCATATAACTGAACGATCGGAAATGACCCAACTTTCGTTTTTTTGATGATAGAAATCTGGCACTTGGTACATATTCTATTTTTGGTCAGTTAATCAGTTACTTCGGCTCCGCCCGAAGTTTGCTTTGCTTTCTTGTTTTTTTATTAAAATCAATCATGCCCATAAAAAGGAAATACTTTTGAAAAATAAAAAAATGATTTCAGTAAAATCAAATCTATTAAAATAATTATCAAAGTCTTCTAATCTTGCCCTGAAAGAGGAAAACCTTTTGAAAAAGATGATTTTTTTTTTTGATTTTTTCGAAGTTAAGAACTTTTACAAAACTCCTCATTTACAAGGCCATAATACGCCCTATCTGGACGTACGGCATACAGCTCTGGGGCACTGCGAGCAAGACGAATGTCCGAACTATACAAGCTTTCGAAAATAGAGCCCTTCGAATCGCCACTGGGGCCCACGTCTATCATGACAATCGCACCATCCACGAGGTTCTCAATTTCCCTTGGGTCAAGGACGAGATCCAAAGAAGCAGCGCACGTTACATGCAGAGGCTTCATAATCACCCGAACCTGTCGGCCAACTCCCTAATAAAAACATAGGTTTATTGAGTTATTTTTATTCACGTTGTAAGACTTTCCTCATCTTTATAACGGTGCTTTAGATCAACTGGGGCATTTTGTTCCACAAATTTTGAATAAATTCTAAGATTTTACAAAATTCTTTTGGGATTAATAAAAACATAGGTACTATTTCTTATTTTTTCATTTTAAAATAAATTGTACACTGTAACGGCAGTGTTCGCGACACAATTATAGGTGTGCACTGTAAAATAAAATTAATAAACTTAAATCAATTTCCCTGTATAGAATAGCGTTTCCGAAGTAGGTTGTTTGTTGTGCTTCATTTTAACTGATCCCTTTCATAATAAACGTATCGCGGTCTAAAATCCAAATGTTCACCAGAAAGGTAGTGTTTGGTTGTCTTGTTCAGATTGGTAGCTTCCATAAATTCAGCTTCACGAAAATTAGAAACTAAAACGATAAATGGTTCGAATACTAAACTTTATACTAGTTCGAATAAACTATAAAAGTTATGAAATCAATTACCCAAAGAGGAGGTGGAGGTACTAAAGCTTTGCTCCAATTTTAACGCAGTTTCTGTTGGAGCCATTGGTCCTGGACCAGTAATTTGTGTTGGTTCCTTCATTAAAAGTTTACCCGGACAAGGGGGCGTCACATTTCCGATAGTAACTGGGATTCTCACCACAATAAAGCGCTTGGGGTTCTGGGTCCGTACCATAACCTCAACCTCATAGTTTAGCTGAATGCAGGCACATTCAGCGACGATCAGAGTAGCCGCCGTTTGTGGCACTTGCAGCATATAAAGGTGCTGAAAGTTTTCGAGCTCTGCACGCGGAAGATTAAAGAGCTCGTGACAACTGCTTAAGATTATGTGTCGCTGAACTTTAGAAGCTCTGCGTTTTGGCTTTTTCTTTTGCTGGCCCACAAAGGTGCTTATCTGTACAAGGGCGTAACTAACTTCACGAAGTTGCAGTTTTTCCGGATTATGAACTTTTACGTGAACAGAAATACCGGAGCCCGGCGAGTAGCCTTGTCTGGGAATTTGCACTTTCATCTCTAGTGGTTTCATCCAGAATTTCAAACGAGGAGTTTCCTCTATTAAATGTTCCTCACAGCTTCGGGACTCCTGAGGTAGACTATTTAGCGGAAATATCTGCAGTGTACTGACATGGACCACATTTACCGGACGATTAGCACTGCTGTGGACCAGAACTTGTAAAATATACCGAATATGCCCGTAAGTTCCCTCAAAATTTCCAGGGCAGTTTTTTGGGAGCTTCACGACACAGCCGTATTTGTAGGTGCCCGCTTCGATTATTTGTGGCTGAGCCGCTTCTGATCCCAAAAAGTAATCGATTTTCGCAAAATAATCCACCCGGTTTTCAAAATCTAATAATATATTTTGTGATTGGGTACTGGGATTTTTTGATTTTCTTTTTTTTTGAGGCTCCTGCCAAGCTGTATAGGCATAACCATTTGACTCAAGAGAAATCGCTGCAACAAAATATATCTAATTAATTAAAATTACTGAAATGTTATGGTAAATTACCTTGGTAATTTGGTGTTTCTATACTTAAAGAATTAGAAAATAACTGAAACGACACAACTTTGGTGTTTCGTTTTATAAGAAATCATTTGAATATAAATATATCGGATCCCCTATATAACTTAGTGGCGCTGCGAACCTAACTTTCCTTTCTTTTTTTTGTTAATTCAGTCTTTGTATCTAATTCTAATGTTAAATTGACTAACCTTTTAAGGATTTGTATGCATTTTTTTACATAAAAGTTTGTGATTGAAATAGTTTGCCCTTAAAAAAAAATCTTTTTTTTTATAACAGAGCACAGTAAGGGACGGGTCAAAATGTATTGCGTGTCGGAAACATGAATTGCGTGGGTACTATAGCTAAATTTGAAAGGTACCCGCGGATACAGATCTTCCGCGCGTTAAAAAATGAAAATACCCAGTATGGAATCAGAATGTAAATGCACAATATAAATTTACTGATTTCATGGTAATTTTTTTCTAACTACAAATTTTCCATTAGTTGCACATCAAACTGTAAACATTTTTTTAAACGGGGATAACAGTAACATTTTTTTTTTTTTGGCTAGAGAGGAGCGTTGCAATTTTGTAATCTTTTTTAAGTTTCAAAATGGTTCCTATATAAAAAAATGCACAACAACGTTTTCCATATGGGAATATCTAGTAGAAGCTCTATCAAAAGCCTCTGATATTGACCCTCTGCAGCTATCAAATAATTCGAGATAAGCTTGCAGATAAGTAAATTTGATTGTCTTTCACACCTACAACCATTATCGACAATTAACTTGCTTTCATTTGAATCCGAATCGTGATCTATGATTCACCAAATGACTCATGCTTTATACTACCTTTAATAAGCGCGCGTTCCGTGAGGGTCAAAAATACCGTCAGATTAATGGTCTCGCCGGCTCGATAGGCCCCACGGGGGTTGTCCAGTTGGATGTTACAACTATACGCCATCTTTCGCACTGCACTTTCTGTCCGGCCCGACTGTTTAGCGTTGTCTGAACTTGTTAACAAAGTGGTCGACCATTAAGAACTAGGTGTAGCGCCAATATCGCCAAAGCCTTTATCTAATCTGGCCTAGGGCTGCCAGTGGCGTGCCTCAGTGTCGCTTCTTATCAGAGACCAATTAATTTGTAATTTAATTAAAAAGCATTGTACAGGGAGTCATGTGTTGCCTACGCACAGGCGGCCGTTTATGCTGCCGTATTTTTCTGTATCCGTTACTAAAGTTTATGCCCATTTTGTAAAAATTAATCAATTTTTGTAAATATTATGAATTTGAATAAAATATTAATACTGTTAATATAACGTTTTAAAGCGGCATTTCTCAAAATAAATTACATAGATTAATCACGGAAATTGTAAAGGGAATATTGATTATTGGGATTCCTACTAAGAGGTATTTATTCCTCTGTGGGTCTCTTAATTGGATATTTGGAAGATTAGCCAGTGGCGATATGTCGGCGATAAATTTTTGAAAAGAAATTCCGAATTTAAGTGGAAAAATGTTCAATATCTTTCAATATCTTTGAGTACATCAGTCATGTACCCAAATTTAAATAATGAAAAATTTAAAAGTAGAAAATCACAATATTCAAATAATCAAAAAATTTAAAAGTAGAAAAACACTTCAATATGAAAGGTCGTCTATAGTGGAGTTTCTGGACTATATTACACCCGGAACTCATACTTTCCACCCACAATATAACACTTAACAATTTGACATTAACACAATTTAATGGATTCTAAGTAAAAAATTGTTGTTGCATACTTTTGCGCTTGAAACAAAAAGCCCAGGCCCCAATTATCCCTACGTCCTTACTACCGATTCAGTAGGGAAGCAGAATAAAAAGTAAAAAGTTATGTATAAGTCTGTACTGAATTGTAGATATAGGGGTAAATCTTCTAGAAAAATCGGCAGCTTTGGCTGAAAATATTTTTTTAAGTATATATATGAACTATAGAAATAGTTTTGCATCAAAAAACCTTCCAGTACTGGCGCTACAGAAATTCGCGATTTTTGGAGGCGGGAGCTCCATGGGCATAGTAGGAGTCTCCATGACAAATCCAATAGCTTTATCTCTTATAGTCTCTACGATCCACGCGTACATTCGGACAGACGGACATGGCTATATCGATGGCTATATCAGTCATTCACACGACTACAATAAACCCTTGTGCTCTACGAGTACCCTGTATTATAAAAATTAAGCTTTTGAAAATTTGGTTCTCCTGACGATCTTCATCAATAATCACTAAGTTTAGAGCCTAAATTTTCTTATACTTAAATTGCCTATTGGATGCTTATATGCACTACCGTCACTAGTTGTAGGACAGTAAGCACTTTTATAAAGAGTTTTTGTTATAGCCTTGAGCTAATCCAGTGATGCAGTCCTTATATTGTCCTATACAGTCCTCGATCGTTGCCAATATACGTCCTATTATAGGGGTATTTTATTCTATGCCTTTATAAAATGTGATTTATTAATAGCATTGACACTTATCGTAGCCAAAGGTCTAACTTCTATGTATACTTTATTTATTGTCCATTCCCGAACGCATAAATTAATACTAAGAATAATTAGTAAATGTATAAAGGCCAAATATGCACGAATATAGAAATATAAGAAATAAGCACTTAATAAGTTCGATTTGATTCTAAAGGGATGGAACGAATTTTCGTTGCCTATAATCTAGACGACGGGCTCGGATACCCAGCCTAAATCATAATAAGGCTAAGTCTTGTTAATTTGTTTATATACAAAGGTGCTCGTCGTTAAAAAAGGTGCTCATCCTGAAGGCCATGAGTCTCTACCACTGCGGTACGTGACAAAACTTGGAGGGACTGTGAAGTTTGGGCCGAGGGTCTCCTTTCATCATCAGACTGATTCTCCTGCTGCTCAACATCTTCGGAGAGCGGGCCGCAGATAGATCCGAACGTTTCCAAGCTGCATCCTGTGGGATCCGTACCAAGAGACCCATAGGATCTGTACAAGTGCATATCCAATCCAGAGTCCTCTAGTCCTTGATGAGCAGTGCCTAATAACGTAGTAAATCCGGGGAACTTCGGCAATTGAATGCGTTGCAACACTCCAACATGGTTACTCTCCAGGGTTTGCTGACTGCCTGCCAGAGTAGCAAAACTAAAAGAAGGGGGGACTAAAAAATATAATTAGTTAGTTTCTAGTTAGTTTAATTAGTTTCTTTTCATTCTTTAATGTTTAATGTTTTCTGACAACTTCAAAATACTGCAACGGAAAGACTGCGGCTTTTTATATTTTAATTTAAATGCCAGTATTTGCCATGAGTTCTTAATTTGGTTTATTTATCGAATTTGGTTAAAAAATTAAAACTTAAGTCTCAATTACTGAACAACTGATAGTAGTTAAGAGTTCAGTAGTACAGTAGAGTACAGAGTAGTACCGTAATAGAAACGGATCTATAGTCTGTCCTTATTTTAAATTTATTTATTCAAAACTCCAGCTACTGGGGTAATAATTTCCCCCTTTTTTGTCGCAAAAAAAAATTGAAAGTCGATTCAAAATTGTACCCAAAAATATATAATATTTCCATATTATATTTTTTTCCAAAAAAGCTATCTTTATTTAAGTACATATTTTTATACCCATGCATGGAAATTATAATTTTGGTCAAAAGTGGGCATCGCAATAAAGGAGTCATCTCCGACCCTATATAGTATACCCGACCCTATATTGGTTTGCTAAATGCAAACGAGAATATAACTTAAGCTGCCATATAGCTTAACGATTAAAATTTGTTACTTGCTAAAAATACTACATTTGATATTTTTGAAGTAAGTTTATTAGTAGTTCTAATAAACTGGTTTTATAAAAAAATTCTCATAACGATAGGCCAACTATATCCGACATTTTTAATTTACATATATATAAATTTATAAAAAAAAATTTTATCAAAAAAAATAAGAAACAAATTTTATTTAGGTTTAAAAAGGTTTTATAAAAAAGTTCTTATAACGATTGGCCAACTATATCCGACATTTTTAATTTACATATATACACATATATTTATAAAAATTTTTTTTTATAAAAAAAATAAAAAAAAAAAAGTTTTATATAGGTTTAAAAAGGTTTTATAAAAAAGTTCTTATAACGATTATAACCGATATTTTTAATTTACATTTATTCAATCATAGCTGCAAGGGTCCCCTGCGGCTCCCCCCGAAATTAGCTTTCCTTTCTCGTTTTTTATAAGAAGTTTTTCTATAGTCTAAGTAAGTCTTCTAAGTCTATAGTACTTGTGAAACTTACGGCAACTGTCATAGGAAGGAGGCTCATCATCTTCAATCGCTTGGCGGATGTCACGAACCGCTGGCCCAGCCTCGTCCTCCCCGATGGATTCCTCAGCCACAGGTTCTTGACGAGGCACCACACGTTCAATCAGACGCCGCCGCTCCGGTGTGGGAGTCCTCCCCACTGGCTGGTGGACATGCACAGTGTCCCTAAGATGCTGCAGCGATGTAGTGCCCACTATTATCGGTACAGAGAGGTCCGTATCATAATGAAAGCAACCGGTCTTAAGTTTAATCTGCAACGTGTAATGAATGAAGACAATATAATTGGGGTTCAAGGTTGAGCGTGGCGTGTCTAGGGGCATGCAGATACTGGACTCGTATAGCCGCTTAGAGAGGCGAAGCGTGCGGTCCCCGATGAATTCCTTAACTAATGTCTTCGTGTAAAAGTTCCGTTTGACTGGCTTTCGAGAGAGAAATACAAAATGCTGCCTTATGGAAACCTCGAGGCCTATTATGTCGTAATGCGGCGACTGGTTGTCGACTTCTAGCCGATATGGCACTTCCTGGAGGGGCGTGAATCCAGATGCGGGCAGTGACAGACTCGAACTAATAGGGCCCGATATACACGGCCAATGGCAGAGGTACTTGATGTTTTCGTCCTTGACTGGCAACTGAAAGAAAACATAAAACTTTTATTTTCAGCCAGCTAGAAGAAGTTGTACAGACTATCACTTCTCGAAATGTAAAGGTTAACTGAAATTAAAACAAGGAAGGAAAGCTAGCTTCGGTGGATCCGAAATACCAATGCAGTCAAGTTCGGATATTTATATATTGCGATTTATCGCAAATATTGGATAAATCCGATTGAACGATCCTTTTGAGAATTTTATTATAAAATCAATTTTATATAAGAAAAAAAATCTGAAAAAAAATATGAAGCATCTATCTTAAAAAATACAAAACTTTGTCCGTTTGCGATATTTCAATTATATGGAAGCTATAGGATATAGTCGACTGATCCCTATAAAATTTACTAGCTTAAAATAGAAACGATAAATTGTCCAATACCTCTCACTTAAACAACAAATTAATGAATTTTCAATAAATCAGTAAGTTGGAAGCTACAGGATATAGTTGAATGATCCCGGCAGTTCCGTCTTATATACTGCATGCAAAGGAATCATCTCTCATATATTCTTGATATTCTTGATCACCATCAACAACCGAGTCGATATAGCTATGTCAGTGTGTCCAATGAACGCGTGGATCTCAGAAACTATAAAAGATAGAGCTATGGGATTCTATAGGGAGCTATAGAATAGAGTACACCGGTCAAGTTTGTTTAAAATTTTTTAAAACTGTTCCAATGGTTAATCTACGCCTACAAATCAAAATTAATAAAAATCGGATAATTTTTAATGGATTTATAGATATTTTGGTCTGCTACTTAATCTGTAGTATGGGGCCAAGAGAGGATTGCAGTTGTTTTTTTTTTTGCCTAAGCGCAAAAGTACGCAACAAAAATTTTAAAATGTTAAGATCGAAAAATTATATCAGTTAGCTATCAACGAAAGACTTGGAAGTTCAATATCTTTTCTTTTCATGATATTGACATGTGAAATGAGCAAAAATATTAATTGAATTGATCAAAAAAAGGCACTGAGATCGATCTCATCTTCATACATACATACATGCATGCAGACAGACGGCCATTATTGCAATAAATAATATATTATGTAAATGTACATAATATATATGTCATGGATTGTGCAATTTTTTCACAACTCGTATGTATGTATGTAAAGTAAAATAATAAAAAACAAGAAAGGAAAGCTAACTTCGGGCGGAGCCGAAGTTTATATACCCTTGCAGCTAAAACCGGATATATATCGCAAACATCGGATATTGTTAGCCGATCCTTGGTAGGTTGGATCAACTGACCAAAAATAGAATCTGTACTAAATTCCAGATTTCTATCTTCAAAAACACGAAAGTTGGCTCATTTCCGATCGTTCAGTTATATGGCAGCTATAGGATATAGTCGGCCGATCCTTATAAAATTTGGCATGTCGTATTATTTTGCCAAAAATAGCGCTCATGTCAAATTTTAACTCTCTAACACCAAAGTTATACCATTTCCGATCAATCAGTTATATGGCAGCTATAGGATATAGTCGGCCGATCCCGGCCGTTCCGACTTATATACTGCGTGCAAAGAAAAGAAGGGTGTGTGCAAAGTTTCAAGACGATAGCTTTAAAACTGAGAGACTAGTTTGCGTAGAAACAGACAGACGGACAGACGGACATGCTCATATCAACTCAGGAGGTGATCCTGATCAAGAATATATACTTTATAGGGTCGGAGATGTCTCCTTCACTGCGTTGCACACTTTTGGACAAAATTATAATACCCTCTGCAAGGGTATAAAAACTGACCTCTTAAATACATTTAAAACTTACGGCGAATTCCGAGTTGTAGTTAAGGTCCAGGGTCTGCACTACATTGATAGGTTTTCTGAAGACCTCGTCGAATCCCCAGGGCTTGTCAATGGTGAGGGAAATGTTGTAGGCAATGTATCCGTAAGGACCCTTGCAGGTGCTCGGGCAATCCGGCGGAATTCGCAGAGTGAGCACGTATACATGTACGCCAGCCCGGAACAAAGAATTGTCGAACACATTGGTGCGGGAGTGTAAATATTGCTGGTGGCCTGAATAATTAGCTGTCTCGCTCTTGCCACTCATCGACCACTGAACCTTGGCTTCTCCTTCCAGAGTTACATATACGGCTGGAAATTGAATGGGAATTTCCATAAATGGTTAAGGAAATATAATATCGTTAACACACCATTAACGCGCTTTACTTTATCCGTACGAAGAAGTATGCGACCGCTAATGTACTCGCCACTATTGTAAACTGGATTCAGGCGATCCAGTTGGAACACACAGGTGGTGGGCATCGCTGCAGAACTTTTGATTAGTTTTATAAATTTTCACTGGTAGCTCATCACGGAAAAGTCCAAAAAGCTGAAAACGGGCAACCAAACTTGCACACAGCCAGACGCGCACTGAGCTCTAAGTTGTAACTCCTTTGTGCCGTGCCAGCATCCACCGACTTTGACTTTCGTTGGTAGGGGGTCGAATCAATAAGCTGGCGCCTTGCGTCTGTGTAGCCGTCTACTGTCTGCTTCTGGTCTAATATTTCAGCGCAAAAGCGTTCGGAAATAGAGTGGCGTTGGCCATGGGTCCTTTCGGTTTCCTTTGTTTGCTTTTGCCGCAAGTGGGGATGCTGATGAGGTCGGGAGTCGCTGCTTATAGTATATCTGCCTACGAACAAAACATTACCATAAATGAACGCCTATCCAAAAGCAAGAAGACTATTTACAATTCAGCGAGGCGCCTCCGTGCAACCCGTTAGCTTTTTGGAGTCCCATTAAATGCCACAATTAGTGATCACAAATTTTTTGGACGCATCACTTCATTAATCTCGCATGCATAATTGCGTTAATGAGAAATCGCCTCTATTTGTGGCTAAGTGGAAAGATTATATTAACATAAAACGACGTTAGCGGATTCACCCATAGCCTGTATTTTACTGTATATTTTAAGAACAGAACATTTAAAATGTATCGTTTTTGTTTACTAATTAACTGAATCAATTTTTAATTGTATTTATTTTAACAGTAAACTTATGAACGTTTCAGGACCAATCTTTTTTAAACAAACAACGTAAAGCTAAATACACGTTCGACCGTTTTTTTTTCGTACACCTAAGTAAGTCGATAAGCTCGCAGTGTTTATTCAGCGCTGGTTCGTCAATTTCCAGGGAGCTTCTGTTGGTTGTAAGCTTATTAAACGGCATGAGTACATCGAAAGAACTGAAAACTAAAAACAGAAAAAACATATATTACTTGCTGGATTGTTCAAGTGCGTTTGAGATACCTTTTACCTGGATTCGTATAACATAGGCTTGAGATTTCGGTTGAAGAGTACACTGGCGGAGCTGCAGTAGCTACGTAAATAGGTAAACTAATAGATCGATGACCATAACTCAAGGTCTCCACATAATAACTTATACTTATGGGGCCTGTTTGTTCTTCATAAGTCATAATGGGAACTGTGAGGGGCAGGAGCAGCATACTTGTATTAAGTCTACACTCTGATAAACAGCGTGTGACTTTTTTTAATTTGACTTTTGGAGATTGGCTTTCGTAAATGATACACTGACATAATCGTGTGATTGAATCCAGAACTTCGTCCTTAGTCTGGACTTTATAGCTAATGCTCTGCCCGGGTACGAAGACACTTCGTGGAAGAGATAATACGAACCTGGAATCTTCTTTAAAATCTGGCTTGAAACCGCTAAACTCCACTAGTCGTTTGATCACCAAGTGTCTTTCAAAGCACTTGCTATATTTCCCACATCTGTCAATTCTTAATTTTAGAGTATAGGCCACCCTACCAAGGGATACTCGACAGGATGCAGGCAAGTTTTGGGGAATGAAAAACACGAAATACCCTAGATGCGTGATGCCAGTAGGCAATTCTAGTCGGCTAGTCAACTTTTTTGTTTCATTTATGTGGACCTTGGATCCTGTGTAATCCATCTTATCCCACTCCAAGCTTGTAGAACTGTCATTGTGTTCAATTTCTGGGACTGTCAAGGGTTCCGTCCAGTGAACAGTTGAGGAACCAAAGAAAGTTACGCTTGTGGCTGTTTATGTTAGAAGAAATGATAATTTTCAGTATACTAAAGGTTTAAGCACATTCATGAGCCTCTTATCTAATCGACAAAAATCTCATCTCGTCATTTACTAACAAAATCTTGTACAAACCTTCAATGGAAATTCTCTTTTTGCCATAGATTGCCACAGAAACTGAACCTGAAATTTCCTCGCCTGAATAGTAAACAGCTGCACTACGTGATAAGTTAAATTCACATTGTACTGACATTTCTACTAGTATCTAACTGCGACCGCACACTCCAAACTGCATATTTCAGTTTATTTCTTAGTAATTTTATTTTAAATTGGACTTTACACAATTCGGAATGTAAGTGCGACGTCGACGACGGGCTGAAAGCAACTGAATGGTTCTGAATGGCTTTATCCATTCGTCGGGAGGCACTGGAAATATTTTGTACCGAACTATGTAGGTTTTGTACGCTTGCTTGGCCAAAAGTCTGTTATCGAAAGATATAAATTATGTTTTTGAAGGTTCTAATATAGCGACTGCCGACGTGCAGAATTCTGTATAGAACTCCTCTGGGTCTTTTTTCTTTCTAAGTAATTTCTTCTTTATGTTTACATGCATATATTATTTGCATATATTATTTGCATATATTATTATATAATTTGCTTGTTTATTTTTATTAAATAGAATTGAAGACAGAAAATACTTATGGTAGACACATTGCAGATTAGAATATCATTTAAGTAAAAAGGACGTAAAAAGTAGACATATTAAAAAAGAACCTTTTAAGAGTATAGGCTCCTTCCTATACTAGGAATTAGTATTATATAACCTTAGTATAGTATTAGAAGATCTAATATACATAGTTAGTCTCTGGTTTCCATGCAAATGTGTAAAAAATTGTGTAAGTAACTTAAAATAAAACTCAAATTATAAAATGGAATCAACTTTATAAATCTTTATGTAACTTTATGTTACACATAAAAATACAATAGTTAGAGTTTAATTAAAAATGATACAATAAATCTTAAAACACTTTTGCGCTTTTTAGAAGAGTTGAATGTGAAGGCTTGGTGCATGTGATCAATCTATTAAGTATTAAAAATATATCGAAACGTAATCAAAGTATATAAGGTATAAGGGAAAGTATAATTCCCTTTTTATTCTAAAATTCCGTCAATCACCAAGCCTGAAAGCTAGCACTTTTAGTAAAATTGTAAATAAGTATGCTATAGTTTTATTTAAAAGCTATGTAATATTACCGAAAGATATTTTATTCATAATAAAAGCCACTCATAAAAGAGAGATGACTGAAAAAAAAATGTATAATAAAATTTTATCTTTAGGGAAAACAAAAAAAAACTCTACTTATCGTATCAAAAATTCAATTTCTTTGTGGTCAATTTTTCTTTTTTGATTTGTTTTTTATTGCCAATTCTTTGTCCAGCTCAGACTTCAGATTATATATAGCAGTTTATATTATATTTTGATTAATAGTAAATCTAACTGTCATTTGGGCTGTTTAACTTTTAATGTTTCGGCTCCAGAAGCGTCTGTGAGTCCAGCGCCGTTTCATATTTTTTTAGAAGTAAAGGATTCTTCCTCTGGTGTCGTGGTGGCGTCCTCTCCATCTTGCATTACCGGTGTCGCCGTAGACGAATCCTGACCGGTGAGGGTAAGCCGCAACTGGGAGCTGGACTCTTCAAAGAGCGTCTCTAGGTGTACAAAATTCGAAATGAGATCAATACGTTGTTAAAAAAACATGGTAGGAGTCGTGAATGGAATGAATGTTGAATGATTGGAGGCGGTAATAAGAAAAAACATTGAGGTTAAGTACATATTTAAAACACGCTAGTTGTTGACATTAATATAATAGTAAGATACATAACAATTGAAAAATAAGGATACCAAAAAACAAGCTGCTGTATAGTTATTCCTTTGAATTTTATTTCCAACAAAGCTGGTTTTTTTAGGCCTGTAATTTTGTGTAACATAAAAAACAAAAGAGAAAATCTAACTTCGGGCGGACCCAAAGTTAATACCCTTGCAGTTAAAATCCGATATATATCGCAAACATCGGATATAGTCGGCCGGTCCTTATGAGAATATTATAATAAAAACTTTCTATCTTTAAAAACACGAACGTTGGGTCATTTCCGATTGTTCAGTTATATGGCAGCTACCATATAAGAATAGTCGGTCGATCCCGGGCATTCCGACTTATATACTGCGTGCAGAAAAGAAAAGTATGTGCAAAGTTTCACACTTTTGACCAAAATTATAACAGCCTCTGCAAGGGTATGAAAATTAATTTAAAATCAGTGTTTTGGAGAATATTGATCGGTAACTTGGTTTACTCAGATTTAAAAAAAATGAGAATTCAGCTTTGACAATTAAATAATAGTGTTAAATGCAAGCATATAACTACAATTACAAGCAAACTCTTAAGCCATGGTTCATTCCTTATATGATAAAGTTTAACAAAGATTTGATAAATTTTTTCCTATTACATAGGTATAAATATTGGTTTGTAATATATAATAAAAAAGCCCAAAAATCGATTTCTTAACAAATTTGGAACGCTAAAAATAATTTTGATGTAAATAGTGCATTTTATTTCAATACAAGTATTAATTTTTAGCAAGAATAAAATGTTATAGATTTTAGATATTAAAAAGAGCACAAATGAGAAGAGAAATTTTTATTTTGTTTTTTAAGGATTTTAATTTTTTTGTGAAAATAACATTTTAATAATAATGTTATAAACAATAGTTATTAACCGTCAATAGTATAGACGGTTATTAATCAAATAAAAAAAGGATTTTAGAAAAGCCACTCAGCCACACAACTATTTGTGTTCGTATGTTTTTAATGTTTGCATTCGTATAAATAAATTTTGATATTTCTGAACTCTGAATTTCTAGAGGGAGTTTTATGTGTCGGAGTCATTAGAATCATCACTACCGGGCGGTATGGTCGGTGTCTCGTAATCGTAATAGACCGGATAATGCGGCTTAAAGGGCTCACTTGTGGTAACATCAGCCTGAGCTGTCATAACGCTGCTCATGCTAACGTTCGTAAAGAACTCAATATCGTCGCTCAACTTTTCACTGAGAGCCATTGCATCTTCATATGAGGGGGGCACTGTAAATAAAAGTGTTTTACGTTTGTAAGAAAACCCACGTGCTTTAGTCAATTGGCTCACCCATAGGTACATAGTCCGGGGGACTATCGCCATCATTGTTCACCAATATATCTGGTCTTAGCGCGGCAGTAGTGGCCGTTAATGAGAGTGTGGAGATAGTGGGCGTGGGACTGGCATTCGTTATAATATTTATATGGGTATTGGTCGGCAGTAGGCCACCCACAGAGCGTCCATGATTGTTGTTACTGTTGGTACTGGTAATGCTACTAAGTCGTTGCTGCTGACCTGAGGCACTTATCCGGTTCCGATGCCTGCCTAAATCTCCCTCTCTGTTCCAACTCTGTTCGCAATCGCTTTGGCGCTGTCTATGCTGCGTCGAAATTTGTAAATTTTGACTAACTACTTGGTGCTGTTGCAGCTGGCGATTAAATCGCATCAAGGCCTCAGGGCCATCCATTATTGGAATGCTTCCTATGGTCAATGGAATCTTCAGCTTAAGCTTCCAGTGAAACTCCGTGGGGTTTACAATAATCTTAATGGAATAGTTAACATTAATGGGGCATGTAGGCTTCACAGACGTCGGCGGAAGCGACGGCAGGTCCAGGTAACCTCTGTACACCTTTCTGGACCATCGGAGAACGTTTCCGAACTGCTTACTGGCGATTAGATGTTTATCGTAGCGGTATTCGTGATGAGGATCGTGCGACTCGTAGCTGACCTCCTGCTTTAGTTTCACCAGACACTCTGTAATGTCTATTGAAGACTCGTTGTTGACGTAAAGCACAAAGTTTATTTTTTGTCCGGGCGCATATCCACAGTATGGTGTCGAAAACTTTACTGTTAACGGACCAGTGGGGCAACAGAAGCTCCAAAAGCGTTTCCGGTTGAGGATCTCTAATGGTACCTGTGGGAAATAACTGTTTATCCAACTCTGGTTAAATGTAAAATAGCACTAGAGTTTAAATAGTGTACAGGAGGATTTTAAAAATAACTAATTTCATGTTTTCTTACTCTGTAAATGGCATCGGCGTTCAGGTCCAAAGGTTGTATAACAGTAAAAGGCCGCTTAAAAACCTTTGGATACCGGCCACATCGCTCAATAGTCGTTATTATCTCGTAGTGAATCTGGCCGTATTTACCGTCAAAGGAAGTAGGGAGATTATCGGGCAGGATGACATGAAAGGTGTAAGAGTACTCGCCGGCCGTCCAGTCAATTTTTGAGTTGCTTGCACAGGATCCGAGCACGTAAGATCGCGATGACAAATAAGATCTGTACGCTCGGCACATGGCGCGTTCACTTTCGCGCGGATATCCCTTTTTTATCCAGCGTATCTTGGCAAACCCACTGACAGTAACATGGATTCCTAAAAAGAGGACCACAACACACAAGATAAATTAACTATAATATTTAAATTTTACCTAGCACTGAAAAACAGCAAACGCACAACGCAATGGTTGATGGTTAGAAGCAACATTAAATTAGGAGCACCAAAAAAATAGTAGAAATACCGCCAGGAAAATTAGTGGCGTACAGGGTAAAGGATTAATGTCAGGGCTCAATCAAAACTGAGTTTAAATGTCCTTTAGTTTTTTCTAGTAAGTTCATAAATGCAAATAATATAAGTAAAAACTAAAAATATCTTGAAAATATAAATAGGTGTTTTTAATAATTAAAGTTAAAACACATAATTTCACAAAACACAGGCCCTCGGGTCCATTTTTAGCATTCGAGTATTTCCATTGAATTGTTTCATCAAGCAACCTCGTGAGGAGTTGGACTAGCGGTGGCTAGTAAAAAGGCCATGAAGGCTTACATATATGTAAGGACAGACATATAAGGACAGAATCCAAAAACTAAATTGTTACTCAAATTTAACTCCAATATTTACAGGAGGCAGCACAAAATTGCTAACTCCACTTATCAGAATACATCTTGAGTAAGATATGATCTCAGATACATATAGGCATTACAAAACTTCGCTTTTTTGGCTATATGGTACATAAATTTGGATTAATTTAGATGGCGCAGATTTTAAATTCCTGGACTATATACACTTCCCAACCTACTTGAGAAATTTTAATGCTATTAACCTATATTTTGAAGTCGCATCGTTTCTAAATCCTATATGTATGTATATATAATCCCAATGTCATATATTTCACCTTAGAAAGTATCAGAAAAAAATGTTGCATTGCTAATACGCCCAGTGAGTCATGGATAGAAACTTACCCCAAATTTGGATATGTGAAAAATTGAGTTTTTTGCTTACCTTTAATCCGCTTCGTTGTGTCGACAATAAGATCAACAACGCCTGATAACTCCTGTCCGGCATAGTAGACACCTTGTGAATTATGATCGAATGATATAAGGCACTCAATGGGCATATATTGTGGTATAGATTTTTGTTATTTTGGTATGTTGGGTTTTTTATCACCACTTTATTTTTGAAGTGTCAAAGTGTGTCCGTTTTTTACTATTTAACACAACAGGAAGTTGTAACGATATCCCTTTTTTTCTTAAGCAGGTTAATACAAACAAAAAGTGGCGGTACTTAGTTCACTTTTTCATGATGATGGTATTTGCTCTTTTTCTTAATTGCTAATTTTACGGCAATGCATTTTTTAGCAACCAAATGCAAATATGTAGCTATCGACGTTTTTGAGAATTATGTTAGCGTTTTGGCTCGACCCTTCCGGACAACCGATACAGACGTTTTAAAACAGTTTTAAGGAAAATCGGAATTTTCTATGTCTTGAATGGGAATATTAATTTAGGTATCCTCTTTTTTCTGTTTTCGTGCCACCCTATGTATTTTGGCCCACTTTCCGCACTCGTTTCGGATCTGTTTTCCTCGCTCGCAACACACGTCCAGCAGCCTTTCGTGTTGGGTTTCCTCTATTCGCATGCCATCATCCTAAAAAGGTTTTACCCTGAGAGAAGGCTGAATTTTTAGGGTGAATCGTACCTATGGGGACGTTCTTTCGCGCTTAATTTTGCAATATACAAATTCATGATCACAGTATATTAGGAAAATCAAGGAGGTTGTCTGGGATTTCTTAATTTTTTTAACCCAATTAAAAGTCAAACTTTTTATCTCTGAGATAATGAACGAGTTACCAATAAGTTAATAAAGCTTATATTCTCTGGAAGTTAAGGTGTTAAGCAATATTCATAATGCACCAATGAAAGTTTTGTTGAGGTCACCCTAAAGAGACACAGACATACATACATACATACGGTGTTGGTTGCCAGCCACAGGACTCGCACTCCCAAATAAAATCAACCCCTACAAAGAGAGAAAAAGTGACGAAGAAAATGAAACGAAAAGCCAGAGAACATTGTGGTGAATCTAGCTTATATTTAGTATTATTTCTTTGCAGATTATTACGTACTTTTATCAGTATTTTTATTCACTTTTTTTATTTTTTGAGTTAATTGAAAACATTTTTATTTTATAAGCTTTCAATTAACTTTAGAAATTAATTAATTATGATAAAACAGTTTTAATGAAATACCCCATTTTCATCAAGTAAAAATTGTTCTTAAAATTAACTAATTATGAGAAAACAATTTTAATATATATTGTTTATTTTATATAAAAATAAACTATATTTTATATCATAGTCAAAATATATTGACTATTATTTGGTCAAAATTCCAAATAGCTCCTCACCTTGGCGCTTTTTGAAATAGAAATATTTTTTTTTATGTATTCATTGGAATATAGATGTCACCCATAAATTTTTTCCGCTCAGTTTTTTAAAAAATAATTATACTTTAATTGATTGCATATATAACAATCATAATTTGGAATTTAACATTATTAGCAGATTCTTTTTTTTAACAAATAATTTAATATTTTAATAATGTTTAGGTAACATAAAAAAAATAAACGGAAAATACTAAAAAGGTAAATTGTTTTCGGTCTCCACGTCTTTCTTCACCTTATGTGGCCACACTTAAAAGCGTTTAATGAACATCGTTCATTAGAATTATGTTACGTTTAATTACGTTTAAAAATTTTATCATTAATAAATAATCAATCTGTCCAACTATAATATTAGAGAAGTATCGAAATTAAACGCAATTTCATAAATAAAATATAATGTATTAAAGGTATCTCCCTTTCGATATCCCCACACATCAACGTCGTAGAAGTACCCCTTCTAATCCTTGTCCAAGGCAGTGACCACGCTTACAGTAACAGTAATTTCTAAAGAGGATAATAATCAATGTCAAGGATGTTTCTTAATTAGGAAGGAGCTACTTACTAGTAGAAGGTTTTTGCGCCTGCTGTTTGATTTGATTTGGTTGGGTTTGTCTTGTTGTTTCCATTATTGTTTTGGCTTACGTTAAGCTTATTTCTGTTGTGGCTGCTGTTTAGGTGAGGGCCCGTTGTGCCGCTCACCTGAAGAGCGCATCCGCGCTAAAGAGCGCACCCGCGCTAAAGAGCGCACCCGCGCTAAAGAGCGCGTCCACACTCGCCCCTCTGTGCCCTCTCTTCTCGCTCGTTGGTTGTCTTCGATCTCTTTTTTGTACTAGTTTTTAAGATTAATTCGATGTACGCAGCCAATAAAGCTGAACGCGTTTTTATACTCAACTGAAGACGCCCCCGACTTCTGATTTTTCAACCCCCATCCTGGAATCTTTTTGCGGACTCAACGCCCCCCTACACATTTTGGTCCTTCGAGCCGGATACCAGGATATTTTGGATCCACCAGCAGTTCTGGCATTGTTCCGCCAAAAGATAAGTACATTTTTCCGTCCCCATCTCTCTGCCGGTCTTCAGCCGTGATCCGAACATTAAATTTCGTTCACACTGCTGCAAGATTGTTTTTCCCTCCGTGTCAACTCCAAGTCCGAGTTTTCCGACACAACGGCAGGTTGAGATTTTCTAATAATCTAGAATAATCTTAAAATTCGGCAAATTTTTCTATCCGTCTCCGTTTTGTGTGCTGCCCATATTCTTCGCCGTTTTCGGCCTCTCCGTTATTCATTCGCTTGCCAACGGTCGAGGCATATGTGCATCCGCATACATACATACGCACATACATATTTTTTTTCGTGCAATTAATCCGCGAAAAATTCGCAAGTGAACAGTGAAATTGTGTGGTGACAAAAAGAAGGCATAATTAATATTGGCCACCGGTGTGAATTAGTTCCGGAATTTCCAAATTCACCGAACAGTCCGCCGCTGTCGTAATATTTGTTTTTATCTCCAGTGTCATTTTTTACACCACATAACTTTTCTGTTCCCCCAATTATACAGTTTACTTATCAAAGCTCCACTGTGCCAACATATGCCCACATGCCCTTACATATATCCGTACCTGCATGCATGTCCATATATTTTCTGCCTTCAATTCCAGGAAATATATAACTGATAAAATTTAACATATACAGTCCACTTATCGAAGCTCTACTGTACCATCATATGCCCCACATGCCCTTGCATGCATGTCCATATATTTCCAAATATTTTCTGCCTCCAATTTCAGGAAATATATAGCCGATAAAATTAAAAAAAAAAAAAATACATTTTCTAAAACCAACAATTATAAACCGCCATTTCACTACAAATCCGTGATTGTGGCGCTTAAATTCTCGACCTAGCCGTGTTGTGTTTTTCGGTTCTGTTTATTTTTCTTTGAGGTACGTACAGGGTGCCGACGGCATAGCCGGCTGCGTAACAAAATATATTAAAAAATCAATTAATTATAAATTTATGTATTTATAATTATAACTACGAAAATTTATTTAATTCTTATTTTCCGTTCGAGCAAAGGGCCAGGGTTTTTAATTCACCTTTCCGGCCACTCAACAATTAAAATTATTTCAAAAAAAATTAATAATCGAAAATTATTAATAATTTAATTATCAACCTTCTGTTCGAATAGAGCCGCGGTTTCACTTCCACCTTTTCGGCTTCGGGATAACTAAATCCAATTAATTAAAGATTTAGGTTTCAAATCCACCCTTCCATAATAATTAAATCCGAAAATTAGCCAAAAATTAATTATTATTGATTATTTATTTTTTTTTGTGTTTAATAAAAGCCAAGGTCAAGTCCACCTTTCCGACTCCGCAAGTTCGACGAGAGTTAAGGATTCAATATCTACGTAGGAACCACACTTGTATACATATACATATATACATTTATAATTCGTCATCAATTCTTTTTTCGAACGAGCACGATTTTTTCCATTTTCCGTGCCTCCAACGCTGCTTCTACTCCGCATCAGGCAACATCCGCCTACAATCTGAGCAAACCTCGTCCCCTTTTGGGTTTTTCTGGTGCCTGAAGTTTTTTTTTCCCATTCGAATTGTGCCGCTCACGACTTTCCTTTCAACATCGGCGCCACTAGTTCGCACTTGCTCCTTGTAATCGCATTTCATCCGCGATCTCACCGTTCTCGTCACATTAGTGCGACCGGCCACCACTTCGTACGGGGCACCTGTTGCGCGAGTCAGTCGACAAGCGCTGACCAGCGAATTGGACTCTGAGAATGCCCACGGGAGACGACAAAAAGCCGCGTTCGATCCCAGCCATCCGTTTGGACAGATCTCAATCCGCATCTCCGCGGACGCCTCTTTTGAAGCCTAAGGCTACCAGTGCCAGTCCAAGGGCAAGGAGTGACGAATCCGTCAATACAACCCCCGGTCCTTCACAGAGGCAGACTCACTCCGTTGCAAAAATGGCTCCAAGTGCGGTCGAAGTGGCGTTGAAAAAGTTCATCGCCACAACAGATCGAATTATCCAATTTGAGGCTAACATAAGTACTCCGGGCGCCCCAGAAACGGAAATAGGCTCCCAATACATGTGCGAAGTTCATCGGGACCAAATTCAGGCACTATGGGAGAAGGTGGAGAAGAGCTATGAGAGCTGCTCCGATTTGCTAGCCGTGTCCGACGACAATGCGGCCGCCTCGACAGTGCTGGAAGATAAGTACAGCTACTGTTACTCCGTCTATTCGAGATGTATTGCCCAGCTTCGGGAGAAAATTGCTTCCCAATCCACTCAGGCTCCCGTCAATGTCCACACGCCCGCGCCTACAGGCTGCCGGTTACCTCCGGTGGATACCGAGGTCTTCGCGGGTGATTATCTTCGGTGGCCCACCTTCAGAGACTTGTTTACGGCCATTTACATCCAAAACTCGCGGCTCACCCCGGTAGAGAAGTTGTTCCACTTATTGTCCAAAACAAGTGGTGACGCCCACGCCATTGTTTCTAAGGCTCCGCTTACCCATGAGGGGTTTGTCGTCGCTTGGCAAAGCCTCACAGACCGCTTTGAGAACCGGCGGCTATTGGTCAATAGCCAGTTGAAAATCCTTTTCAACCTCCAGGCTATTTCACAAGAGTCCGGGGTCGCGCTGAAGGAGCTGCAAGCCACCATTCAGAGTTGTCTGACAGCCCTAGCAATGTCCGCCATAAATGTTGAGGCTTGGGACTGTCTCCTGGTATTTATGATTTCGTCAAAGCTCCCTAAAGTCACACTTTCCATGTGGGAGCAATCCGTACATAATAAGGCCGAGATTCCAACATGGAAGGAATTAGATAACTTCCTGACAGAGCGCCATCGCACTCTGGAGGCCATCGACGACGTCAGGCCTAGTGGCTCCGTGCAATTTCCGCCAAGGTCGGGACTTCCTACTGCCCCTGCTCGGAGGCTCACTTCATACGAGACTCGAGTGGTTCCGGGCCAAAAGAGCTGCGATCTCTGTGCGAGGGAGGACCACCCCATTCGCTTATGTCCGCGTTTCCTAGAAATGGATGTAAATGGGCGCTCTGATTACATAAGGAGGAAGCAGTTATGTTTAAACTGTTTTGCCCGAGGGCACCAGCAGCGAGACTGCACGAGCGCTCATACCTGCTCCACATGCCACAGCAGACACCACACCCTCTTGCACCGCGGCAATCCATTCGCAACCGCTCCAAGTCCGCCTACGCAGCTTACCGCTCCAAGTCCGCCTACGTCAACAAACGGCTCCGAGGATCAGTCGAATGTGCAGGTGTGTTTCGCTTCCGGGTCAGGAGCCGTCCTACTGGGCACGGCCCTTATCAACGTGTGCCATTTGGGGTGCACCGTCCAAGCACGAGCACTGATAGACTCAGGCTCCGAAGCGACGTTCATAACGGAGCGACTGTTCAACCTCGTCAAACCTCCCTTCAAGACGATTCAAGCCCAAGTTTCCGGCCTTAATCAGACCATTTCCGCGCAGTCTACAAAATTGTGCCATTTCTCCATTCGGTCGCCGTCTAGACCCGGGCTACAATTAGAGACTGCGGCTTACGTTCTTCCGCAGTTGGCAGGAAATCTGCCATCATATCCGATTTCGCGAGATCGTCTCAAGGGGCTGCCCAATATTACCCTGGCGGACCCCAACTTCTTTGAGAGCTCCCAAGTCGATGTGTTATTAGGAGCTGACATTCTTCCGTCCATTCTCCTCGGTAATTCCAAGGCTAATATCTGCGGGTCGCTTCTCGGTCAGGAGACCATTTTCGGATGGGTGCTGACAGGCCCATTATCTCCAGACAACCCCCTCAGCGTGTCTGTTTTTTCCGCACGAGTTGCCCGCAGCCTCGGTGACTCACTGGTTCAGGGTTCCGATTCCGGATGCGAGCATAATTCTGTTACGACTCCTTCTCCGATTTACACATCGCATCACGCTGCACCGTGGCAATCAGCTGATGATCCGACTGATCCGGGTCTAATTCTAGATTCCAAGGTCATATTCAGCACGATGTCGCCACGCCCACGCAACGCCCCGTCACTGGAAAGCAGATGTACTCGAGGTACACTATCCTACCGATGCCGAGTCTGCAATGGGAGTCATCCGTTGAAGAAGTGTCGGCGCTTCCTACGCCTTAGTGCCGAGGAGCGGCTCCGAGTGGTTCTCGTGAACCGCTATTGCTCGAGCTGCCTGGCCCACGAGCACTCCGACGGATCCTGTCGGCGTGGGGACGGCTGTAAGACGTGTGGTCAGGATCACCACACGCTGCTGCACCCCGGGACCAAGGAGCACCGGTCACCGCCCAAGGGAGACAGTACACCTGGTGTCTCGCTCTCTCGTCGGCCGTCATCCGCCAACTCCCGGCGCGGTTCGGGTGCTTCTCGCCCTGCGTCCGCCATTTTCCGGCATTTCCAAACCGATCCACGGCCGCCGACTTCCAGGCACTCTTCGATAACTCCTCGGCATTCTTCCGCCACTGGCCGGCAGCCATCAAGCGCTCCACTGCTTTCGTCCGCCACTCATCGGGTGCCGTCCACCGCTCTTCCGCCCGCGTCATCCGCGCCTAGGCAACTTTCCGCCTCTCCTCGAGGGCCCCCGCAGGACGCGCTCGCTGCGCCCACCCTATCGTCGCTGCTGAGACGGAACAACGTCAACATCGGGACCCGGATTTTCGACACGGGGACCTCCATCGACCCGTGTACGCCCTCTAGCTGCAGTGACGCATAGCTAGCGACGAGGGATCTGTTGCAACCCGAGCGATTGCAAGGGGGGGGAGAATGTTTAGGTGAGGGCCCGTTGTGCCGCTCACCTGAAGAGCGCATCCGCGCTAAAGAGCGCACCCGCGCTAAAGAGCGCACCCGCGCTAAAGAGCGCGTCCACACTCGCCCCTCTGTGCCCTCTCTTCTCGCTCGTTGGTTGTCTTCGATCTCTTTTTTGTACTAGTTTTTAAGATTAATTCGATGTACGCAGCCAATAAAGCTGAACGCGTTTTTATACTCAACTGAAGACGCCCCCGACTTCTGATTTTTCAACCCCCATCCTGGAATCTTTTTGCGGACTCAACGCCCCCCTACACAGCTGCTTCTGTTGTTGCTAAGTTTCTATGGACAAAGTTTCCTAAATGTAATAACTAAATGTAAGGACTAAATTTAAATAACGATAAAAGTTTTAATAAAGTTGAAAACTTGTATTTTCATATGCTTTTTAACTAACTTTTACAAAAATTCTTGCGATAGGGAATTTCGAATCGTTTACCATATTCAAAGCACTTTATCATTAGCCTTGTATAAGTATGTTATGGGCCTATCGAGGGTCCGTCAGCAGTGTACAAGCTTATATGCTTTGGTGGTCCACGTCCTCCCGCTTTCATTTACGTGGACCACCGGCAGCCATTGACGCGTATGACCTTGCGTATGACCGGTGCCGCTTCACCGCGGTGCGTATCCGTTTTGAAGCTATCGACTTAAAACTTTCACATACCCATTTTTCCTTTACACGGATTAAAAGACGGAACGGGGATCGGCCGACTATATCGTATAGCTGCCATATAACTGACTGTGAGTTAGAGTTTTTGGCAAAATAATTCGACATACATTTTTTATGTAAGTATCGGCCGACTATATACTTTAGCTTTCATATAACAACGATCGGAACTGACCCAACTTTCGTGTTTTTAAAGATAGAAGCTTTGATTTTTTTTTTAAATTTGGTATTGTAATTCTCATATGGATCGGCCAACTATAACCGATTTACTGAAATCAGTGGAAAACAAAATTAAATTTAAAGCTAGAAGTCTTTACAAATTTAAATTGACCAACTGATCTCCGGCAAATATTATTATTCCCATAATTTTAAACTCAGCAGGATCTTGAACAAATTTTCTTAAAAAATTCTTAAAAATCATGTCAATCATTCTTACCCACCCATACGGTTTTTCGCACCCAAACAATCGCACTTGAAGAACTTTGTAAAAATTAAACCCTTAAACAGACACAGAGTGTCGGGATCAAAAGGGATAATTTTACTATATTATTTTTTACCATAATAACGATTTTTTCAAAAATTAATTTATATAAAAAACTAATCAAAAATTCAAAGCTTACCAAGAGCTGTGTTCAGAAACGAGCAAGAAACTAAGATAATTTATTTATTAATTTAATTATTAATTACCACACTCAAAAAAATGTTGAAAAGTAATATTTATTGTGAAATTTAATCATTTTCACACATTTTATACATTTATAAACCGTATACATTTTCTGTATACATTGTTCGTATACAAAAATATTCGTATATAGTCGTATATTCAAAGATTATACATATATAAAAATTTCCGTGTAGCTAGCCATTCTTATTGGGTATAGTTTAGGTATATTTACATTAAACTATGAGTCGTAAACTAAATACTTATGACAAGGATTGTTTAACAATCTTATAGGTTTAAATTAACATCAATACTGAAATTCATAATTTAAACAGATAGCTAGGTTAGTAATTTATAGTTTATAGATATATCACATCAGGAGAAAACAGCAAATTAAAATACATAAACTTTAATTTAAACATAATCTTCGTTGCAAGTCAACATTTTCTGGGTTTCCACTTCTAGAGCGGGTGGTATTCTACAGGTGAGGGAGGAATGTCGGTGTATCGTGAATCGTGTTGTACCCATTCCAGAGGAGTTGTCCTTAGAGTTTACAGCATTCTTCCGGCATAAGCCCAATCTAAGTTTAAAAAGTTTTTAGAAAGTTCAAAGTCAAATAATAGCGAAGTATAATAATTACTTGCTCAACAATGTGTATAGATCCTGTCGGTACTGAGCTGTTAATATGGCGTACAAATAGGGATCTGCGCAGGAGTTCAATGGGTAAAAGAACACAAGCAGAATTTTTGAGTTGGTGACATTGATTAGCGGGAAGCCGGCCAATGCCGTTAGTCCAAAAAATGCGATTGGTGACCAACAAGCAAAATTTGTAAATACCTTTAAAAAGGAAAACAAAATTTTATCGGAAAACAATACTTTCATTACACGTCCATTTAATAAAAGTCAATTTCCACTTACCAGAAGAGCCATTTTCTTAGCCACGCTCAACTCTCCAGGATTGTTTTGACGTGCATGACGTGTCTCCCGACCCAAAGACAAATAAATTTTGGCGTAGCACACGGCAATGATGAAGAAGGCTACTCCGTTGCATCCCAGAATGGCAATCAGATACACCGTGTCGAAAGAATCTCGAACTTCCATCGGCAAACAGATGCTGCAGTAGCCCGAAGCGTCATTTCATTAAGTAATTAAGTTGGTTGCAAAAGCTCACCTGGTCGAGGAATAATTGCTAATACCAAACAAAGGCAGCGAGGACATGACCATCGAGTAAATCCAACCACCTAACATAATTATGGACGCAGAGCGCAATCTAATGCGTTTATTCAGATACATGGCCTGGGTTATGGCCACCCAGCGTTCGATAGTTATCAGGGTCAACGTGAACACCGACAGATGACTGGCAAATACAGTGAGAAAACCGGCAACTTTGCAACCCAACCCTTTGGAAAAAACAACAAGCAAGAAAATTAAAACCAAATCCGTGCATCCATGGAAAATTGGAAAAGACGCCCACCATATTGCCAATCGTAAGCGTAGTTGAAATACTCCCCCATGGAATGTGCATCGATGGAGGCCACCAAAAAGAGGTAGAGGCCCAAACATAGGTCCGCAAACGCCAGGTGACACATTAGGAAGCGTGCCACAGGTGTTATTTCAGGCCTGAAATGCATAATTAACAATATAAATGCCGAAAATACAAAAAAATTAGGGTTCCAATTTTATCTTGGGGATTGTGGGGTTTCATGATTCATATAACGATTTTTTAAGGTCAAACTTAGTTTCTAAAGTTCTTTTTTCTTAAATGCTCAATTTTTATGTGCAATGTTTCAATAAATAGAATTCGTTTCAATTTACCTTATCGATAGATTAACAGTCAGCACTGCTACATTTCCAACAACAGCCAGAGCCACCACAACCCATACGGAAATTCGTAGCCACTGGTAACCCATAACGTCCTCACACGGATTAAGAGCATTTGGCATGGGATAACACTCCACATTTGGTTTTCTTAGAGAATGTAACGTAGTAAAATTTATTATCAAAATATAAAATAAAGTTATTAAGTATGGTTACCTAAATGTAAAATTGCCACAAAACTCAGCGAATTGTTCATCGTCCGGATTAAGGGTTATTTCTTCATGGAAGTATCCTAGGTTCATAGCCGCATCGGCCATGTAATCAACGGAGGCGAATTGCGTAGAAACTACGTCTGTAGGCGATGCTTCTGAGCCAAATATACCATAACCGTCCGATTGACTATGCAAAAAAACAAAAAAAATCCAAAAAAAAGCCACTAAACTACTGACCTGCGTATTTACCTTTTTAAATTGTTAAGTATACTTCTCTCTTTTCGAGATATTCGTTCACCTTTGCACTGTGTCCTCCACTTTTCAATTTCATCCATCCTCTGAGCATGTCGCAGAGGATCATGCCGTGATGGAAATTGAAAAGCACAACAATGAAAAGAGTGGGTAAGGTAAGCCCTTTGTAGGTTCTAAGCAATTTAAAAAATCAATTGTCATCAATATCAATTGTTCCATGAATAAATCGTTTACTCACTCTAAAATTATATATTGAGGGTATCGTCTTCAGAGTGTGTGTGTTAAGTATGTACAAAGCTTCGATTGTTTGGAGTCCTGCAGAGGGCATTTCAACAATCGATGTACTGGACAAATCTCTGAAAAAAAAAACATTGGTTCTATAATAGTTTAATATTCATGCTGAAATACCGACAATTCTGTTATATCGATGATTCCATGGAAGGCATTGGTATGCAATTCCTTTAGTTTTCGGTTTTCTTTTAAAGAGCTATTAAAATAAACAACAATATTATTTAGTATTAGAGCCACTTGTGTTGTGCTTCCTGTTTACAAGTACTTACAGTTTTGCTATCTTCGACCCACAGAACGCCGAGTCGTCAACATAGCTAATGTCATTGTTTGCCAAAATTCTGTAAAGGTCGGAGCTCTTGAATGGTTTACTTTACTATTTGCAAAAGATTTTTATACATACAATTGTGCAGTTTTTACTTTAATAGATTTTGCATCTATTCTAGTTATTTGATTGTTATCGAGATCGCTGGGACAAAAAAAGGTTTATTTATTAAAAAAATTTGAAATAAAATATTTAAAGTTTCATAAATTTGCACTCACATCATTTGCAGAATATTGTAGGGTGGTAGATGTGTTAAATCCGGAACCCTGGTGAGTCCACTGTTTATGATGCGTCTGCAAGGAAAAATGTTGCAATTAAATTTTATAAGTCTCTCATATTTTTTGGTATTAGCACTCTGCTACCATGGATTCGAATATATATTATATATCATTTTTAAAAAACTATTTTTTTTTTTAAACCATTTTTAAAAACACTCTTTGTGAAGCAGAGGAAAAAATAGTTTGTCTTCTGCGTTTAAGCTTCTTATTTGCTATAAAAACTTAGTTTTCTGCCACGCAGTAAACAGGATTTTCAAGCTAAAGGCCAAAACGGGAACCGCAAACTTGAGACCTTTCATAGCTATTTGTAGATGTTTTACATTGAAGAAAAATTAACTTCTTTAAGGACTTGTGTTACCTTACAAGTTGTTTTACTCTGTTACATATTTACTATATGTAACTGAAGAGTGTAAATTATGTAAATTGTAAATTGTGTAAAATATCGTCACTAGGTGGGCCGACAGCCTTTGAAATTGGGGCTGTTTGAAAGTTGCGAGAGTTTATTACTTATGGCTTAATTTCTGCCTCCCTCATCTAATTGAACAGTTTTTGGCTTACATTATTTCCACAGTATCCGAAATTCCGAAAAATACGTCCTTGGATAGAAAGGTTAGCTTGGGAGCATTTGCAATGTAGCTGCAATTCAAAAACCAAAATCGCTTGTTAAAGGACCTTGCCAATTATCATTAAGCCTTACATTGTGCGTAGGAGCTTTAAATTAGCGAAAGCCCCATCTTGTATCAATTCCAGCTGTAAGCAGTCGGTGAAGGCGCTGCGATGTCGTTTGAAAATAAACATAAGGATGTGTCTCTGAATATATGTATGTCCGTTGCCTATGCACTGTTCGCACATAGGATAACCGCAACTACTCACACATCCATCAAGGTTTGGGCGTAGACTTTCAGGCCCGTGGCGCGAAGGCGAGGCAGGCCCGCCGTCGCAATTGTCAGTCGCTGCATGGCCATCGTTAGTGTTTGTGGTACTCGGGTGAGCGCCTCCCCCTCGCAGCGACACTCCGCTTCCTCGCTCTGGAAGTTGTATAAAATGTGGTTAGTGTCCCCTCATATAGTGGGCAACCAAAGGATATGCTACTCAGTTAAAATTGCTGTACTAATTAGATTGATTTTGACCCATAAAGTTTGCCTTTGGGTGAAGCATTCATATAGAGGGATGGACAGACGGACATGCTGATCAAGAATATATTGGGGTCAGATGATTCTTTCTTTATGTTACATACATTCACACGACTACAAAATGGTGCTCCGCCAATTTTCTATATTTTTATACCCTTGCAGAGGGTATTATAATTTTGTCCAAAAGTGTGCAACGCAGTGAAGGAGACATCTCCGACCCTATAAAGTATATATATTCTTGATCAGGATCACCTCCTGAGTTGATATGAGCATGTCCGTCTGTCCGTCTGTCCGTCTGTCCGTCTGTCTGTCTGTCCGTCTGTCTGTTTCTACGCAAACTAGTCTCTCAGTTTTAAAGCTATCGTCTTGAAACTTTGCACACACCCTTCTTTCCTTTGCACGCAGTATATAAGTCGGAACGGCCCGGATCGGCCGACTATATCCTATAGCTGCCATATAACTGATTGATCGGAAATGGTATAACTTTGGTATTTTTAGAGTTAGAGAGTTCAAATTTTAGGTGAGAGCTATTTTTGGCAAAATAATACGACATGCCAAATTTCATAAGGATCGGCCGACTATATCCTATAGCTGTCATATAACTGAACGATCGGAAATGACCCAACTTTCGTTTTTTTGAAGATAGAAAGCTGGAACTTGGTACAGACTCTATTTTTGGTCAGTTGATCCAACCTACCAAATTTCTTTAGGATCGGCCGACTATATCCTATAGCTGCCATATAACTGAACGATCGGAAATGGTATTTGGTAGAAATATCAACTTTCGTATTTTTGAAGATAGAAGCTTGGGACTTTTTTTTAGATTTTGTATTGTAATAAATTGGAGTATATATTCCTATTCCCATAAGGATCGGCCAACTATATCCGATGTTTGCGATATATATCCGGTTTTAACTGCAAGGGTATATAAACTTCGGCTCCGCCCGAAGTTAGCTTTCCTTTCTTGTTTCAATGTAAAACAGATTATTTAAAATTGTTTAAATTATTTATTTTCTTAAAAAGTTACACTAGTTTTAAGTTGAACTTTTTTGATATTTATCTTTAAAAAATATTAAAATAACATTAAGTAAAGTCCCTACTCCTCAAACTTTAATTGTCGAACTACGAGGCCACAAGTGTTTATCTCTCAAAAGCAAACGAACAACCTGTGTGTCCCTGCCCTTTGAGGGAAAACATAGAAGTGATGGCGAAATATATGTATCAATCACTTACTTGATTAGTTGCATTCCAGCAGCAACACTTCCACGGGGGCAATGTCAATGTCGGCGGTGGCGCTTGACCCGATGACACGTCGGTGGGATTGGGGTCGGGGCGCAGATCGGAACTGCCATTGGGAAAGACATTGAAACCATTATAGCTGTCGTGGCAGCTGGCTGAAGTCGCGTATACGCCGTGGAGCCAACAAAGTTTTGTCAATAGCAGGTGGTGGAGAAGCAAGCGGAAAACGAACTTGGGTAACACACACTTCATGATTGCCTTTTGTGCCGGACCACGTTTGCTCCGATTTCCGGCTCTGCACACGCCTCTAAAAGGAATTTGTGCGGTTCATTTTTATGATGGACTTTCTATTTTAGCATTTTTTTTCCTTCAGCTGCATTGGCTTATTTGAAACTGCCGGGAATTGGGAAAAAAGATATACATAAAATAAATGTTACGGGACTGCATCCACAATAAAGTCATCGTCAGTATGTAGGCAAAATAAGGGAATGATAAAAATAAATAGCCAGTGACTTGCTGGTCAATCTGATGATATTTGGCAGGTTGTGAATTAAACAGTCACGTTTGGTGGCGGGAACGCGTGTTTGATTGATTTTCAAATCCGTACAAAAGCAAATGACAAATCAGAAAATCAACCGCAACTATTGACAGCGAAATTCTACGGCAATCAGCGTCGCTAAGGGTCGCCTTAGGATGGACCGAGCAGGATAGACACACTAAACACACTTGACGAGGACACTGACACGGAAAACAGGACAGACAAACAAATTCAGAGCAAACAGAAGGCGATCAAGTGCACATCAGTGGAGTTTACTAATTAACATATGTTATCACAGGCATAAAATTCATATTTAACCTATTATTTTTAGACACAATGCTTCGATCTCTGCCTGTTTGCCTGCCAAGTCCACACATCTCGTTTCGCAGGCCCTATACGTATGCATGCATTTATATCTATATTGAATGCCCCACGAGCCGTGACAGCTTTACACCTCTGTTTGTTCTTTATTTTAGTTCTCACCAGCTAATTGAAATATTCAGTTTTGCGTAATTAGAGCTCTCGTAAACAGAGATTGGTCAGGAGAGTCGTTCCGGTCTCTACTCCTAGACGCTGGAATCCAACTACATACTTAAACTCTAACTGCTTATCTGTTTCTCCGGACCTCAAAAGATAGCCGACAGGTGTGCGCCGGGTTCCTACCTTTAATTAACAAATATTTGTTCTCGCATGTGCTCCAGCTAGCATTATTGTCTCGAATTTTTCGGCCGGAGTGCACAATTCGACAGTTGCCCAAAAGGTGAATATTAAAAAAAATAATTAACGTCTTCGGCTAGGTCGCCTCCCCACGAAATGATCGAGTTGCCGTGAACTTTGCGACGGAATTCGGGTCAATCTGTACACGTAACTCTTCAAGGGTGACAAAAATTCAAGAAAAAATAAGGTGCCAATCACGTCATGAAACACAATATATGTAGCTTGAAAAGATTAATGTTAATAATAAAATGATTTGAGTATACAATTGTGCCACCGAGGAAGCAGTATAGAATGAGTTAAACAAATTATTTGCACAATATTTTCCTTGATTGGAAGCTGGGACTGATTGTTTGCATTAAAATCGGGCACCCGGAATCCAGATAGTTAGCAGTTTTGAATTCCATTTAATGTAGTCCAACACATGGCCCGCACCAATGACACTTAACTGAACAACAACTAATTTTCCTTAATACGTTTATTACGCTCCTTTACAGCTTTTAATGGTGCATACTCGATTTATTCCACTAGGGTCTGGGCCCAATACTCACGATTAGAAAATTAGAAAATTATGTCAAATTATTTTAATTGTTATTAAAAACATTATACATAGTTGGAAACTCTTCTCAAAGGACAGCAGAGAATCGACACATTTATGTAGGTGGTCACTAAAAGTTTGTCGTGTACAGTAACTTTTTTTAGTTACTTAGTCGAAAGAACATTAGAAATATTACAAAGGAGATTCGTCGACATTTTTTAATAGTTTCAATGGAATCATGTTCAATTGGACATGAACATTAGCTTCATTAGTTTTCAAAAAACTTTTAACATTTCGTCATATGCTTAACGCTTCCTCACTGATTATTTGAATTAGCTCCCACAATACAATCAAGAAGATTACTTTTCAGATTATGGAATAATATTTGTGATTTGTTTCGCACCCGTGAGTTTCATTAGTAATTGTTATTTACGCTCGCTGCACAGATACATAGATTAACGAACTGAATAAGAACTTATCGCCTATTAAAATCGGAAGTGTATGTTCGGGCAAATCAACTTTGATCATTTTATGGGATTTCTGCACAAACAATCACATTTCTTTTTCGAAGGTTGGATCATGTAATAAACAATTGCTACGAAATAATGAAAACTATAACAAGCACGAGTATATTTTTAATTATTTTAGTCAGGCGGTTAATTTTTGTTATTCATTTCACAACATATTTCACAAGGGTGTATTTTATTTTCTTAAACCCAAACACCACATAAAGGATTTTCTACCACTTTTTCTAGCACCATGGTCCTTTATAATTGTATTAGACCAAGACATTCACCGATTCACTTTTATAGCCACAAGGATTCGGAGAGATTTCACCTGTTGCAGTTGGTAGCCAAAAACGAAATGCGCCTTCAACCAAACTGAAACTGTGTGACACCCACACGAGGCGAGCCGAAGCAACCGAGCCGGGCAGATCCGAGGTATTGGAATCAGCGTACGAGTGCGAAGAACCGGGCAGCTCCAGAACCAATGGAGGAATGAGAGCTCCGAAGCAGAGCCAAGGTTTGAGCGTTGGCAAAAATAATCTGTTGCGGGCCAGCAAAATGTACACTGAATAAAACAAATTTTATAACAGAATACAAAAATATATAACACAATAAAGTATAAGTTTTATAAATTAAAAATCTTTTATATTATTCGGAACTCCTGTTTAAATTGTTATCTGACTATTATTTTTTTTTTGAGTTTATTTTATTTTATTTATTTTTTGTTTTTTATTAATTAACTTATGAAATGCTTTGCACTAAAGCGTATATATTGTTTACATTATTTCTTCCTCCTGCCGCGACCGACATTAAGTTTCTTTTTACTTTAAAACCCATTTTTTTTTGTTTTGACCTCTCTAAAATATATACATACATACATACATATGTCTAATTGAGAGCCAAAGGTGGCGTTTCCTTAGTTGCCAAAACCAGCTGTGGCACTAGAGAAGAGAAATCGAAAACTATATTGGAAAAAAAAATTCAGCCGGGCACAGTATTATTACCAAATCCAAAACCGAATTTATTTTTTCGCACCAAATCGTTTTGCAAACAAGTCGGTATCCAATGGACATGCACTTTCAGTACAAGAAGGATCACACCTTCGACAGGCGTCGCAACGAGGGCGACAAAATCCGACGCAAGTACCCGGACCGTGTTCCAGTGATTGTCGAAAAGGCGCCGAAGACCCGCCACCCTGAGCTGGACAAGAAGAAGTACCTGGTTCCAGCTGACTTGACATTGGGTCAGTTCTACTTCCTTATTCGCAAGCGCATCCACCTTCGTCCGGACGACGCACTTTTCTTTTTCGTGAACAACGTTATACCTCCAACGTCGGCCACTATGGGAGCCCTGTACCAGGAACATAAGGACAAGGACTACTTTCTCTACATTTCTTACTCCGATGAGAATGTCTATGGGCATGGGCATCAATAATCGATTTAAGTTTAGTTGTCACTTTGTTCCATTCGCGAGATCCTCAATAAAACACAATGACGGGCCCTAACCCATATGAGCAGCCAAAAGTCGACATCGTCAGAGCTCATGCTGTGCAAAATAATCATCTCCGTTGGCGGTACATCCCCAGTCTGCTTAAGCCCATCTAAATACACCCCTTGTCTTTTTGGGTTTTTTGGAAAAAAACAGAAATTAAATTAACGTTTCAAAACATGTAGTGAACTCGCGACTTAATTATAATTCACAAATCGATAGCCTGTCCCATTGGGAGTACCGACAAATTTTAATTTAGGCATCTTTTATTTTTTTTGTTACTTAGGTTTACTAATTGGTGAAAATATATCCATGAAACCAGTTTTATTCTGACAAAAGCGTGCTTCAAAAGCATGCAATAAAACTTCGATGGCATCCATTCGACAACTTGTGGTCGAAGTGTTTGGTTGATTCGGCGGTGCACCAAAACAATGTTTATTGACCATTTAATTGACACCACTTACCTGAATTAGCAAAGGAAACTTTTCATGGCACTTGAATTATATTTATTACCATAGAAATATTGATGGAATACTTCCAGACGCCCACAAGCTATTTATGTCTGGTTTAACTTTTGTTGTTTGTGTTCAATCAAAATTGTTCGGAAAGCCCCAATAATAAAGAATTGAGTTTTACTGCCGGGCTAGGCACAGATTTCAAAGGGAAACACTATGTCTGACACAACTGATTAGTTCACATGACTTACGTTAAGTACATAAAATTAGATTAACAAATAACAAATACTAAGGCTAAACAAGACTTCACAGATACCTGTATGTTGACACTCACCTGCCCGCGAAGTCGAGCGGAATTGATTTAGACATATAATAATATTCTGTTATACATTTTAATTTAGCTTGAAATTTGCATATCATGTTATTTACAAATGCGAACATCCACTAATTGACTAGATAATCCAAGAGCGAATCTACGCCAGAAACAATAAAACTCAACCAAAATATATTCACATATGTATATATTTCATAAGAGAAACAGTAGCCGAAGTGCAAATCAAATTAGCAGAATTAATTAATACATTTTTGAGAGGCCATATAAAGAAACCAGCTCTGTTGTCGGAAAAAATATTTGTCTCCTAGCCAACAATGTAATGTTTAAAAGAGTAAGGCAGGACGAGGAGGTCCGAGAGATTTTATAAAAAAAAGAGAGTTCTTTAGTAGCAACTTGCGTATTATTAGCAATGAAAATCAGCTTAATATCTGGATCCAATTCGATTTCGACCTTTATTATGGTTTCTTTGTTCAGCCGCAGTTACATAAAACGGGGATATACCATTCATTGGAACATTCGCATACAAAAATACAGTTTAAAAGCTTGATAAACGAATTTAAAAATCAGTTTGCACATTATCTTAAGTGCGCCATGCAAGCAAATTAACAGAAGGCAAGTTTGGATCGTCACAGCCAATCATTTGGTTTCTGTAAGGAAGTATTAAGCATTAAAGTAAATTGTATCCCTTTTTAACATCACTCACTCTGGGTGATCCGCCCGGACAAAAGCAGCAACGGGAACAGCCTGCAGTGTTAATCGATCGGAATTGTCGCACAGAATGCGCGCCAATGTCACTTTTTTCAGCTCCTGCAGCTGTTGTGGGTTAAAGGCCCCCGGATTGGTTGCCTTGTCGTACTCATAGAAGTATCGGTCGCCTTGCTTGAATCGCGCAAACTGATCTCCTATAATTTCTGCAAAGGTCCCGCCTACCACGCCCCCTTCAACGGACTGTTCCAGCAAGCCACCCACCCACAAATCAATGTCGTCGGGGGTGCGATAGGCACGAGCCAACTTCTGTCCGATCTATGAAATAAAAAAAATCTGTTCTTAAGAAAATAAATTATACATACATATACATAAAATGGCTTTGATTACCGTACAATGAATAAACTTAGGAACTTGCTTTAGAATGCTTAGTTGATACGTGATTTGTTCAATATTTAATATTTGTTTTAGCATTTTAAATAGCCGTGTGTATTTTTTTTGTTGCCGACCAACACAAATTTCATTAACTTACCTCGCTGGGGAACTGCAGAAAACTCTCCAACTTTGGCGCTCCCATCAGCTCCAGGTAATCGTTATAGCTACGAAGACCCTGGTCGCGACCTCTCTGAATATTGATAGCAGCCAAGTCAAGGCCGAATGGATTGTCCCCACGGAAGAGGAAACGACTAAGCTGCTCAGAGAGAAAGCATTTTAGATACAAACAAAAAATAAAAAATATCAAGAGGTAAGGTACTTACTCCTTGTGTGATTGAGCTATCCACCTGCTGCATCGGCTGAGTATAGAGAGTACGCAGCATATCGTCATAAAATTCACGTTTTCGCATACGGGAAGGATTAAACATCACATCTGGGATATTAACCACTTCGTCGATGTGGCCGTGCTCTTGTCTAATATGAAACTTGCCGTCGACGCTATTGAAAGTGTAATTTAATTTATAGGCAGGGCAGCACACACTCATTGATCCTACCTCGAATGACCCATGCGAAAGGCAGCTCCCGAAAATTCATTGGTTATGGCCGGATTTACCTCAACATTATAGCTTCGAGCATATCCCTCATGAAGAGGAGCCAATCCGAAGCGCTTCATTTGCTGCGGTCCAATTATGATGGGCAAGAACTCATTATACGTTATGTGTTGCATTTCAGCAATGACAATGCGCCGTGCCTCTTGGAAAAGCCATTCATCAGTAGCTGAAGGATTCAGTTGCTGCAAAACGTCCGCTACACGATTGTGCTCTCGAGCAAGAAGAATCTGAAGAGTGATGAGCGAAATGATTTGATTGGTGCGGCCATCGCCTGAAAAGGAAAACAACAAGTTTTAACAAAGAAAAAGGTTATGATTATATCATAAGCGTATTGTCGTTTTCATGGAATATTAAAAATGTTCTAAGGGAACAATAGAGGAATAGTTAAATTATAAAAATTATAAATTAATTCAAATTATTTTTAAATTAATTCAAATGAATTAATTTCATTAATTCAAAGATTAATACAAATTCTGTCCCTATACAGTCCTTATTATAATAGTCCTTATGGTATACCTCTAGTAAAACATAAGTTGATTGAAAAAAGTATAGCTGCCCTGCCAATGCATTCTTCAAAATTTTTAGAGGAATATTTCCGAAAACTCATATATATTTTATGGTAAATATCAATTTGGTAAATATCAATTATGGTCAAATATCAATAAATGCAGAATCGATTTTAAAAGAGTAAAAAAATGGATAGAAATCTTAAGATGATTTGTTGTATTTTGTTGTAACCTTAAGCTTAACAACAAAATTTTTGCATTGACCTGAGTTGAACGTCCGTCGTTAGAGCAGTTTTGCCATACCGAGAAAACTTGAAAGCGCTCTACTGACAGCCAGAGTACACAAAATCTACAATACCAACCGTCTGCCCTTTGAAACACTACTTCTTTAACTAATTCCTAGTTTTTGCTTGATTTTTGGCTTTTAGATGATTCGGTGATGAGTTTTGCTGTACTGCTGTTAATATTTCTTAATAACAATCTACAATAATATATTTCATAAAAAAGGATATTTAATTTAGTTAAACTGTTAGAAACTTCAACAAAATTATTGAAAAGTGGTCGCCGAATTAACCTTACATTTTTCTTACCCGAGTTAAAACAAGATTTCCCAGCTTCCTCGCTTGGACAAGCCTTCTTATCATTGGTTAGTGGCAACAGCTCCCTGCCAAAATCGTTGAGCATTTCCAAACGTCCACCTCGAAAGGCTCGAAGGTCACGGGATGCCTGCTCACTGGATCCATAAACCGGTGAGGCATCTATAAAGTGCGTTACCTTGCTAAGCTGTCTGCCATAGCCCAGTTGACAGTCGGGACTCGGCACCAAAGACAAACGCACAAAGTTCAGGCACCGTACACCAAAAGACGCGAAAAACTCGTCTTCTGGATCAACATGGATTGGCATACAGGCAAAGTGCCTTTGCTGCGGACTGAGCGCTATTTTTCCCTCAGGGGAGCAGCACTGTACAAGATTGCCATCCTCTAGTCTCACAGACGAAGTTTGAGACACGTCATGGGCCTAGAAAGTAACAAAAATTGTAAATTGCTGCTCCATCATATAAATGTAACGCAAATACCAAAACTTGTCCAAACTGCATAACCAAGAGATTATATTTGGGATGGGGTCGGTCCACATCTGCCAGCAGAGTCCGCGAGATTTTACGTGCACCCTGCAGTGGGGTGCCATCGGCAGAGTGGGCGCGCGGTGTCCAGATTCCATCCTCATACGCAGGGGGCAAAAGTCGTTCCATCGGCTGGCCAGCAGCTCCCCATAGCGAACGCTGAGGCAGGGGATTGTTGCAAGTTCCGTCCAAACTGCGAAACACCGATTGAATGTCACGGCAAATAGGCGGCGGCTGGCAGTGCTTTGCCAGCGGAGTCTCCGTGAATTTGGTTGGCACGTTATTAGTAATAAAATCGTCCAGAGGTACTTGCTCTTTCTGGCCAAAAAGCTGGGTGGTAATAACTTGTTCGATGGCACTATTGGAAATGGCAAAGTTGTGCAAATCATCCTTGGCGGTTGAGTGGAACACCAGTCCGTGGGCGAAATCGGGGAAACCTCTTCGCACAGGAATCTGAGCCACTCCGTGCATTAGATGCTCAAAGTTCCGACGCGCCTCCTCCAAAACTGATGGAGACAATATGGCGGGCAACCCGGATCGCCGCTCTTTGGCGCTCGCGGGCCGTGGGGCAGTGTGATTTTGCCCTGTCTGACAACAGTATCCAAATTTACCAGCAGGAAGATCACAAATTTGCGGCTTTTCGTGGCTTTCCATGCGCACATGGGCGGGGCATTGAATTTGAGGTACGCATTTGATACCCAGCTTGCATGGGCGACATTTTTTCAAAAGACCTAATAATGAGGCGCATGTAATGTACGTATGTACAAACATATGTATGTACATATGTATGTATGTTAAGTGCCGTTAGAAAAAAAAGGTAGGTGAAATAATAAAATGGTGGGAAAACTAGATGCCAATTTTTTCAATGTAACTGTTAAAGCCATAGCGAATTGTTACTTATTTTAGCAGATTTACATCATTATTTTCCATGCTTTTTCTTACCACTTTCAAGTTTGGCATTCGTTTTAATGCCTTCAGTCGTTGGCGCAGCAATTCGTAAAGGCTCATCTTTTTCAAAACGGTTTTGACGCGGTGTAAATGCTGCGGCACTCGATCCCTGATATTGTGTGCACATTAATATATGCCAAAATAACAGCAATCCACTTAACATGCGCAGCATTTCGAAATGAATAACAAAATTACGTGTTTATTACTTTTGATATTAAAAAGTACAACTGGTGCACATAGCTCTCAAAATTTCGTTTGACTGTAAGCGACTTGATATACTCAGAAGCTGGCGGGAAAGTTTAAGTGTTAGGCAACACGTTAAAAAAGCGAAGGGCTAAAAAAAAAACAGAAAATTACTAAAAAAAACATTAAAATCTAACTTTTGTTTTTACAATTTATACATTTTTTTTTAAACTTTACTTTTTATGCAAATTGCGCCAATTTTTATCAGTTTTCGTTCACATATTACTTAACCTTCGTGTACGTGATTTTTAATCTATTAGGCCATCATAACAGGGCAACAGAGCAGGCCTAATAAATAGTAAAATAAAATATTTAATTTTTTAATAACACAAATAAGACACACACAGTTGTGAAAAACAATTACATACTTTTAACCGTTAGCTCTTATAATAAGTTCACAAGTGAAAAAAATATCACATACTTTTAAGCTTTTAGTGATAACGAGCGTACTTGGAAAGTAATTTTTATACAGTTTTTTATTTTTATATTTCATTAAAGTTTTTTTGTATATTTGGACAACTAAAACTAGCTAAAATTCATTATACAAGTTTGTATTAAAATTTAAACCAAGTTGCGCTTTGGATGTCGAGCTGCCAACCAGTTTAATTTTGACCAGTACTGCTAAACAAAAATTTTTATTAGTGCCAATTACTACTTTTTTCCCCTTGTAAACTTTTATATCTATTAAAATTTGAGGTAGGTGGGGACAATGCTTACAGATCTACAATTGGTGCATTCCCAAAACTCCCAAATAGTGAGATTACAATAATACTAATATTAGTATTGCTAGTAATAATACTTTAATAATAATACCAATAATAATACTTCATAAAATTTTTTACATATAAAAAAAAAATACTGAAAATGAGGAAATCTGGTCACATCTAGTTATCTCTCGCCCGTTTGGGCCGCCATTTTTAACTCCACTCTGGCAACGCCGAAAAAATTGTAAAGTCGCTTCGTCGTCATGCTGCGAAATTGTTGGAAAATTAAGTGAAATACAGCGTATTAATAGTGAAAAGTATGTGCAGCCTGTGCAGGGCCCCTCTGGCGATCAGCCGCGAGTGAGTTTGGCTGCCGAAGTGTCTTTTTGGCAGCGCCCAGAGCCTGGCAAAAAAAGCCAAAGCCCGAAACCGAGGCCCGAAAACCGAAAAACTCGGAGCAGCGCAGCGCAGACAGAACAGACAAGACTTGCATACACTTCAACTCTGCCTGCTAGCTGCCCAACTCAATTCGTTTCATTCGTTTTGTATTCCGTTTTCCGTTCGTGTACCGAGTTTGCTGCGAGTTCGTTTTTAGTATATATAGCATATATAGCCAGTCTGTGGACGGTCGTCAATGCGTGAATATTCTTCTATGTGTAAGTGGGTGTGCGTGTATGTAGATTTCTAGTTAAGAAAAGCCATCCAAAGCCACACAATTCAATCTGCCGCCGGACTTTCGCCTTAGTGAAAAATTCAGTTGCAGTTGGGTTATCCCGCTGCTGCAAGCCTAATTGTGTAGTGTGTGAGTGATCGCCTAGATGTGTATGCTAATGTTAAGGATTTCAGGTCCTTGCATCACCAGCGACACTTGGCGAAAAACCGCAGAAAAACGCAAAAACCTCCAAGACAAACGTCAGCAGCGGCCGCCGCAGCGGCAGCAAAAGCAAATGCGGCAACGGAGGCAGAGGCAAAGTGAACGCGCAACAAACGAAGCAAGCATAGCGGCTAGCTAGCTGGCTGGCTGGCTGGCAATTATTTATAAATCGTTAGCCCCAAATCTTTAGGAAGCCGAACAAGTAAATAATTAGCGGAGCATCTATAGTTTAAAAATTATAAATTGAATTGTGAGATACCCCAATGCTGTGCCAGTGCTGTGTAAACGCGAAAATTCGGCATAGAAAATAATTACGAAAAAATCATTACTGGCCGTCCGTTTCGTTCGTTTTGTTTCACACAAAACTAATAAAGCCTCTGCCCAGGGAGGCGCATAAGTGCGAGAGAGAGCGGCATATGCCTCTAGCACTGCCATCCAGCAAGTGCAAGTGAGATAGAGATGGATACGACGTGTGCGTGTATAGCCGCCAAATGTAAAAAGAGAGCCAGCGAGCGAGTGTTGAAAAGAGAGGAAGAGTGTTAGCGAGAGCGAGTGCGCTCAAGCCATGAGAGCCAGTCGGCAGGGTTGTCAATGCACGCGGCAGAAATAATTGTTGTTGTGGTATGAGTGATTGAGTGTGTGTATGTGTGTGTTCGTAGCGGACTTTTCAATACACAACAGTAATGAACGAGTACAAATTATTTATGTTTTCTCCGTGAGGTTACCTTATTAAAAGAGTTTAGAAAAATTTAGGCTCAAATGCACAATGCTAATCGAACTCTTTGATTGCAGCTAACATAACCTCAAAATCACCGCTGCAGTCGGACAAGTCGTCATCAGCGTCAAGTGTCGTTGTTGGTGGTTCCTGGTGCTTTCCAGTCGCCGCCACCTCATCTGAGCCATCAGGAGCACCACCAGCAGATGAAAAACCATGAATGAGAAAATAAAGTCTCCACAAACGCAGCAGTCGCAGCAGCAGCCTGGTGGCACTGGTGCTGGAGCTCCTGCCCCTTCTGCCACGCCCCCGACGGCTGCAGGTGCCACTCCGCCAACTTCGGGCCCGCCCACTCCCAATAATAACAGTAACAACGGCAGTGACCCCAGCGTTCAGCAGCAGAGTATAGCTCCTCACCCCTATGGCGCCCCACCGCCCCCCGGATCTGCACCCGGAGGTCCACCAGACCCGGCTGCTGTCATGCACTATCATCACCTGCACCAGCAGCAGCAGCATCCGCCGCCGCCTCACATGCAGCAACAACAACAGGCGCACCACGGCGGTCCGGCGCCACCACCGCCCGGAGGAGCACCTGAGCATGCGCCCGGCGTTAAAGATGAGTACGCCCACCTGCCGCCACCGCATTCGCATCCTGCATATGCCCGCTACCACGGCGATCCTAACATGGATCCCTACCGTTACGGCCAACCGATGCCAGGTGGCAAGCCTTCTCAGCAGCAGCAACCACCACTGCAACAACAGCAGCCAGGACCAGGAGGCTCTCCAAATCGCCCGCCGCAACAGCAGCGCTATATTCCCGGACAGCCACCGCAGGGACCCACACCCACGCTGAATTCGCTCCTGCAATCTTCGAATCCGCCGCCTCCGCCTCAGCACCGTTATGCCAATACCTACGATCCCCAACAAGCGGCCGCTTCAGCAGCAGCAGCGGCAGCGCAGCAACAAGCCGGAGGTCCACCGCCGCCACCACCAGGACATGGTCCACCACCGCCACAGCACCAACCGTATGGAGCACAACAAGGCGGTTGGGCGCCTCCGCCGCGGCCCTACAGTCCACAGCTAGGACCATCGCAGCAGTACAGGACACCACCACCGGTAAGTGCCAAATAAAATATGAAACCTGTGAAGCATAGATATTCAAAAAATTTTAAGCTTACAAGATTCAGAAATTGTAAGAAAGGGTGAAATGGGATTAAATATTTATTACAAAATGTTATCTTTTGTAATCTGAAGGACCCTTGTGCAGATTTTTTCGATATTTTGATTTACTAAAATACATAGTTAAGGCAGGGCACAGCTTCAATGTAATTTATGAGCCAAATACCGGGTCTCCTTCCTTTTAGTGCTTTTTTGACATTGACACTGATTTTGATTCCATCGACCTTACACACACCCCCTCAATTCCATATGCAGGCCTTTACATGCTGAGCAAGTGTTTCTTGTTGCTGTCGTGGCCTTATGCTAGGCATCTCATTCCCCCTCTACGGCGCCTTCGACTCCCACCCACTGGTTCAGAGGGGCTCGTCACGTTTCGTGCTCATGGATGTAAGTAGGGCTGTATTGGTGTTTGTGTGGGAGGGAGGCTGCAATATTTACTGTTACTTTTTAGGGTTTCGTCTTGGTCGCACTTCATTCAGTTCCGTGAAGATTTGCCAAGTCCCACTCGAAGGCGGTTAAAAAGAAGGCAGACACACTGACACACATAAAACATTGTTCCGAGATTCCGCGCGTTTTTCTGCCCCCTCCATGGGAACCCCCAACCCCATCTCTTCCCCTTGACATTTTGCCGTTTAAGTGCCGGGTGTAGGGCGTTGGGCGAGTACGAGGGAGACGGACAGAGGGACAGAAAGCCGAGAGAACCGGCACTTGCCGCCACAAAACAATAACAACAAAGGCCGCAACGCAACGGTGAAACGAAGAGGAAAACAACAAGAAAGAGTTTGTACACAAAAATGTTGAGGCATTCATTCACATTTTAGGGTTTGACTTTGGGGTCTGGATTTTCTGTCACCTATCCATGCACATATGACAAGTGGTTGTGGAATATTAGTCCGGGTTACTACCAGGTATACTTACCATGGAAGAAATAAAAGTATCCGATCTTCCAAATGATTTATTTTTTGTTTTTTAACTCAAAATGAACAGGCAGAGGCGCCTGATACGAGACGAGGAATAACTAACTAACTAACTCTAATCTGAACACTTTTCCCAGGTCTTGCGAGATTTCGTAATCACTGCTATCTGGCAAAGCCCGCCAAGAGTGCGCTATCAGTTGTTTCTGGCTGTAATGTGGTTGTGGTTTTTTGTGTATGGTGTTTGGTTGATTGGCCTGGTCGGTGCACGGGATGCGACTTCACGTTTCCATTTAAATGAAAACCGGTTAATTGTTTTGTTGGTGAGGTAGTAAGCGAGGGCCTTGCCCACATACATATATTAGCAGCCGTACCTACTCATATCAGTCGTCCCGGTATCTAGTCATCGGTCTGCTTCTCGCATATTTCACGCTGCTGCAATTGATTGCTTTTGTTTTCATGAATGGTGGCAGAGAAGGAGATGTCTCGGGTACGAGTCAACGAACTTTGATGCCAACGATTAGCCAGAGAATATAAACAAATCTATGTGAATACACAAATCAAAGCAATTCGCCAGGGTTAGCAATGTGTGGTTCGATGCGACCTTCGAGAGTTTTTATTTATGGGGACGAGTCGAGTGTGTGTGTAGTTTCTGTGTGAGATAAGA